GTCAGCCCTGCTCTAAGAGGCCCCTGAGTCTCAGTGTCCCATGGTAATCGCTTCAACCACTTCTGAGGGAAAGCCACCTTCAAGTTTCACCTGCTACCAGACAGTCCAGTTTCTCCCCGAATGAATCTGGGTCCACAGATTCTGGCCCGAAACTGGAATTTAGAGCAGTCAGGAGCTTTTGTTTCCCTCCCAATTGAGAAAGCCAGCTGAGTATTCAGTCCCCTCTGTGCATGCACCTCCATACCTCTGCCTTCCACAGCTTCTGTAAGTCTCAGTGTGCTTTTCTCTTTTCTTCTGGTTGTAGAATTTCCACTCAGCCAGCCCTCCTGTGGTTCTGAATGATGTCCGTTTTGTCTTTTAGTTGTAGTTTTGAAATTGTTGTGCGAGGCAGCAGTTTATATGTTTACCTATGTCGCTATCCAGATTATTATTTTTAAAAAATCCTTTTGGTAATTGAACAGACAGATGACTTCTCATTTTAATTGACATTTCTCTTTGAATATATTCCATTTTACATTTAAATTTTTTTGTTTGTTTTTTAAAATATATTTTATTGATTTTGTACAGAGAGGAAGGAAGAGAGATAGGGAGTTAGAAACATCGATGAGAGAGAGTCATCGATCAGTTGCCTCTTGCACACCCCCTATTGGGGATATGCCCGCAACCAAGGTACATGCCCTTGACTGGAATCAAACCCGGGTCCCGTCAGTCCCCAAGCCGATGCTCTATCCATTGAGCTAAACCGGTTTGGGCACATTTAAGTTTTTGTATCATCAAATTTTTGAGGTATTTATATAGTAAAAATGTTAAATTCCCATCATGTGTAGATTTTCTGCAAGTCATTTACCTTTAAATTTTTAATTAGAGCCTTTTTATTTTTACATAATCTAATTTTCTGATTTGTTGCTCTCTGCTTAGGAAGCCCTTCTCCTATCACATAGTTTCTATTTTTTTTCTAGTTTTTCTGTAGTTTGATTTTTTTTTTCTTAATATATGGATGACATTAGAACTTAGATTTTTCTTTTGCAAAATTACTAATTGTAATTACATCATTTGTTGAATAATCCTTCCTTTTCAGTAATGTACTTTTAATACGAGACTCTCCATGCTTTTATTTGTCTTTCAGTTCTTGAATTATTTAAAACCATTTCAGACCTTTTGAACCATTAACATTTTTTTAAATGTTAGGAATATCAGTCTTTTTCCTAAGTAGATTTTAAGGGTTTTGGGGATAGCAATTGTTTCCACATCACATTTTATTTCTTTCACAAGAATTATAATTTGTTACTTAATGGCCATTAAAATTCATTATAATAAAACTTTTATTAGTCCCTATTAGTGTTACTCATAGTGGGGTATCCTAGTTTAATTCTTTTTTTTCAGGATAAAAACTGCAATTATGCAGTGAAACTCCTCAGAGCAAGGAAACCCCTAGGATATGGGGACCTGCTGGACCTCTTTCAGGTGTGTGAAAGTGCATCATTTGATCTCATAGTTATAAAGTTTGGACATAAAATATACTTATTAAACATACAGTGTTAATCAAAGGAGTTGTTCTTATTAAGGGACATAGGTAGAAAATAATATTTTTTAGCCCCCAAAAAGATATCTTTAACTTTTAATGGAAATTGAAATAGAGAATTTTGATTAAAAAGCGTTGACCTTTTCCTTTCTTCCTAAACTGATAAAAAATGATTAAATCGAGTTAGATGTTCTTTATATTACAGGACAGTGTTTTTTTTTTTGTGTTTTTTTTCATGTGATTTTCAGAGTTTATACCTATAAAATTTTTATATAAAACTATACTTAAATAGTATGTCATTAAAATTATTGTATACAAAAGGAGGGTAGATATTCTCTCATATAGAAGAGTAAGATTAATTTCTGCTTCTTAGGTCAGCTATCACTTTTAAAAGAAAAAAACCAGTAGCTTTTCCTCCCCCTGATCATTGTCTTACTGCATTGCGATCTGGATATGAGGAATATGTTTTTGTATTTGTTTTCATATTATGCCTCAAGAGACAGAATAGATCAATAGATTTTTTTTTTTATCATTCTGTATAATATAGAAACTTCCCTTTTGACCATTATATTGTCATATAAAGTGGGAGGAAACAAAAAGTGGGAAGGAGACGAGATATTTTATTACTTTGAGTTATAGTAAAAGGAAATTTAAAAAAATTATTTTTATTGTATTAAGATTATCTCCACTTGATAGACTTGGATAACTGTGACTGACATTGATTCACCATTTCATTATAATTCACCTTATTTTATTCATTCGAAGATGCAGTTTTTCAGTTTAATCCCCAAATTGATATGCAGCATACAATTGATGGCATCTAAGAATCACTATAGGCCAGGTGGTGTTATAGTTGTTTATTTTCAGTGCATATGTGAACATAATTATAGTTGTTCTTATTAGCACATCTGTTATGTGCATTGTTATCACATTAAGTTTAATTGCCATGTAAAATGTCACCTTAGTATTGTACACAGACTTTCTGTTAATGTTTTATGGTAAGTAAGCACCAGCATCAAAACATAGGTGTTATTAAGAACTGACAATAGTGAAGTACTCTGTCAATAAATGAGGCATCTCCAATGCTCTTGATGGCCTAGATGCTAGAGGATGAAATTGTAAGGGAAAATTTAAGTGATTAGTTAGCACTGTATCATAGTTTAATTGGCACTGATTTACTTTCTTGAGAGATTATGAATATGTCTTAAAACGATTGTCATTAGCCATTCTATTAAAATACATTGTTTTTCCGTCTGTGAAGACAGGTTCCCTTTCGTACATTTATCTGAAGACTTTAGGCAGACAACTCTAAAGTGCAGATCATTGGTTCTTCTTAGATACTTTTAACTCTTTTCCTTCCATTTGTATCAAGTCCTGTTTACTTTAAATAGGGGCAACATAATGTGGAAAATGTAGTGAAACCAGGAGTTAGAAAACATTTTCCAATTCTGGCTGTACTACATAATTGTTGCTTGGGCCAAGTCATGTCATATAAGGTCTGTTTGGTTATTGTGATACCAAATGAGAAATACGTGCTAACATTCTAAACATTATAAATGTGGCTTGTTACTATTGACACTTATTTGCCTGAGCAGTATTTAATAATTAGAAATGTTCAGGATATTTACCGCATCAGAGCTTTTTGTCATCTTTTCAGAATTCATATAAATGTTTTGAGACATTGTTGTCGAAAATTTATGTCTCTGGATTTGAATCAAAACCTTTATGCACAAGAAAGCAAGGAAATAAGGCAAGGGAACCCTTTTGGAAACTTCTTCTCCAGTCATTTTTGCCATTTCTTAGCTGTTCTAACTCATCAATTTATTCTGGCATACTGAGGGGCTTTACAAAGCGTGGTGTAAGAAATTGTAATCTTTATTTACCATATCATAAAGGGAATTTTTGGGTGCATAAAGACAGGAATTTAAATAAAATTCATGTTAACATTGGTTTTATTCTTTTTAAAAAATATATATTTTATTAATTTTTTACAGAGAGGAAAGGAGAGGGATAGAGAGTCAGAAACATTGATGGGAGAGAAACATCGATTAGCTGCCTTCTGCACACTCCCCATCATGCTCTTGACTGGAATTGAATCTGGGACCTTTGAGTCCGCAGGCTGAAGCTCTCTCCACTAAGCCAAACCAGTTAGGGCTGGTTTTATTCTTATAATAGTTATTCTGGGTGATTTTATTGTAATTTCTTTGGCAAAACTTGTTAAAATTCAGATTATGTCTTTATTATATGTTTTAACCTAAAAAATAATTGATGTGTATAGTACCTTTGAAAGCAATATACCAAAAACATATGTTTAATATTGTTCTTGATTCATAACTCCATGTTATTTATTCAGATTCCCTGAGGATGACAAACCTGTCTTATTTTTGTATAGCTATTCAATGTGTATTGATTTAATTTCATTTTATAAATTTAATTATATATAATTCAGTGGGCACATTTTCTAACCTTTTACATTTTTGTTGCCTCTTTAAACTTCTGAAGGAATTAGCTTGGTAGAAAAAGTTAAATTAAGATTTGTAATTATAGCATGTGCATCCAATTTAAAGTAATGTTTCCTTAATAAAAGGAGTAATGTTATTGTTTTTAATGAGCTTATTTCTTGAGGAAAAATTAGACTATGAAAATGCAAGTCATCTATTGAATATAATAATAAAAGCATAAAATATGCTAATTAGACTGGAAGGTTGCTGGACAAAGCTGCGGTGGCAGAGGCCAAGGCAGAGGCAGTTAGCGGTGATCAGGCAGGCACGTGAGCATCTAGGGGCGATCAGGCAGGCAGGCAAGTGGTTAGGGACGGCAGGCAGGCAGAGTGGTAGGGGTGATCAGGCGGGCAGGCGAGTGGTTAGGGGCGATCAGGTAGGCAGGTGGACAGTTAGGGTTGAACTGGCAGGCAGAGTGGGTAGGGGTGATCAGGCAGGCAAGCGAGCGGTTAGGAGCCAGTGGTCCCGGATTGTGAGGGAGCAAGCCAGGCTATGGGAGCCACTCCCGCTCCTGTGCACACATTTCGTGCACTGAGCCGCCAATGTAATATAATTATAGAGAGTTTCTGAACATTCAGAAGTATGGTGGAATGATGCATATACTATTTTAAATTACTTTTTTTGCTCTATAATATGAATTTTTATTCATGTTTTCCCTTCTGCATTGTTGAAGGTATGATATGCTTTTCTGAGGCAGGATAGAACTTCTGAGAAGGTAACTTTAAGAGTATAGCACCATAAGAAGGGCCAGTGATATAGTGTCAGGAGAAAGACATGACAAAGCTGTAGTTAAGGGGTGTCGTTTAGATATGAATTTAAAACATCTATTTGAAGTGTTTTAACTCTTATACTTGATTTTTATTTTGGTGTTAATTTTACATAAAGTTTTTCAATTATTACTGGTTGTAATTATATAAAATATATTGCTATTTATGATTTAGATTTAATAATTTATTTTATATGTGTTCCAAATAAAGCATTAAAAGAGAACAGCTCAGAGGTTGTTCAGCCTTTTCTAATGGGTTGTGGAACCAAGGAACCGAAGATCACTCAGCTATGTTTGGCCGCCATTCAGAGACTCATGTCACATGAAGTTGTGTCTGAGGTAATGTGAAGATTTTATCTGAACTATGCACCTAAAAATCAAAGCAGTTTTCACAGGAGGAATGAAACATACCTGATATTTAATGTAAAATAGTTTTATGACTACTAATGTGCTTGAAGGATATAGCTTATTTAAAAAGATTAGCTAATTATTTTGTTATTAAGTACTCATAAATAATAAAGATGGAAGTGCAGTTTTTTCAAGTCATATATAAGAATAAGTAGTCCCAGAGAACCATGCATATTTTCATATCACTGAAGAGAATACCGTATATTATAAAAGGCTAATATGCAAATTGTCCCCTTGGGAGTTCGACCATCTGGGACTTTGACCACTCACCATGATGTGTGATGACCACCAGGGGGTGGTGTGGAATGTAGGAAGGCTCTGGCTGGCAGTCAGCAGCTGGCAGCCAGGGGAAGAAAGTCCCTGATAAACTCTGATCACTGGCCAGGCCTAGGGACCCTACCTGTGAAAGAATTTTGTGCACTGGGGGTCTAGTAAGTCATAACATTTTTTTTTAAGGTAGGAAGGAAAATCTTGACTGTTTCCTAAATTATCTGAAATGAAATTGGTTGTTCATTAATGAAATGATTGTATCTAATTTTAAGATGGTAAAACAAGGAACATTTCATCATTATGAATCTATATCCTCATCTATATAATAAAAGGCTAATAGGCAAATTGCCTGAACAGCTGAATGACCAGTCGCTATGACATGTACTGATCACCGTGAGGCAGGCAGACAATGCAGGAGCTGCCCCCTGGTGGTCAGTGCACTCCCACAGGGGGAGCACTGCTCAGCCAGAAGCGTGGCTCACGGCTGCCAAGCACAGCAGCAGTGCTGGCAGCCTCTCCGCCTCCACAGCAGCACTAAGGATGTCTGATTGGTGGCTCAGAAGTTCAAAAAGACTAAGCCGTCAGTTGGACATCCCCCAAGGGCGCCCAGACCGCAAAAGGGCACAGGCTGGGGCTGAGGGACCCACCCCCTCTGTGCATGAATTTTGTGCACTAGGCCTCTAGTATAAATAAAATGCTGTTAACCTTAACTTTGTACTATTTAAAGTATTTTAATAGAAATGGTAAATTCTTTTGCCTTTAGTATAGCATTCAAAATAGTCTCAATAAAAAAAATAATTGAGATTATAAAGGCATTGTTAATTGAAGTTGAATTTTATTTTTTTCTATAACATATAGATAACACTAGAGATCTGGTGCACAGATTCATGCACGAGTGGAGTCCCTCGGCCGGGCCTGAGCCCTCTTGCAATCCAGGACCCCTCAGGGGATGTTGGACTGCTGGTTTCAGTTTGATCCTCGCAGGCCAGGCCGAGGGACCCCACCGGTGTGAGAATCCATGCACCAGGCCTCTAGCATGCATATAAAATATTTGGTTAATCTCTTCCCACCCTTCCCCCTTCCCTTTGAGACTCATCAGTCTGTTCCATGTTTCCATGCCTGTGCTTTAAGCATCTGCTCCCTGGTAGTCAATGAACATCATAGTTACTGGTCGAACAGTTATTTAGGCTTTTATATATATAGATAAGAAACAGCAGACACAGGGAATTTCCATATGTCCAGATTCATCAATGTCCAAACGAAATAGTGTTGTAGACATAAGCTTTGATTTTGACTATGTATTTCAGATCTGCATGTTGTTATTTGAAAATATTGAAATGGCGTATTTTAAAGAAATTCATTTTTTTAGAAGAAATTTAATTGGTTGTAAATTTCAAATTAGTTGAGAGATGTGTTTGGATCTATATATCTAAAACATAGGTTTTGTTATTGCCATCAAGAAATTCCAAGTGAGGTAATATTTGTATACTTTTTTTAATTTGGGGACTTAAATACTTATATTTTATTTGTTGACAATAATTAAAATAATTGCTTTACAGACTGCAGCTGGAAATATAATTAACATGCTTTGGCAGCTGATGGAAAATAGTCTTGAAGAACTTAAGCTACTTCAAACAGTTCTTGTTCTTTTAACAACCAACACAGTAGTTCATGATGAGGCGCTCTCTAAGGTAGGAAACCTGTTTTGACAAAGTTCATAAGTTTCTTGGCACAGTATTTGAATAACGTGTAGAAAGAGAAAAGCCTGATTTGAACCAAGGGTAACTTCCCTGTATCTATTGTGATAATGGACATTGTGGGTTACAAACCATTGGTGCCTTATTTTCCTCAGACTAAAATTGAAATCAGTTTAGGGTGATGAAGCAAAGCCCTTTGGGTATAGCTGACAGGGTTAGTTATGAATAGGAAATGGAAGAAGAAAAGTAGCAGAGGAATACAAATAGAGGAAGAGGAAAGTAAGGGGAAAAAAACGTATTTTGAGGTATCAGTGTTCTCCACAATTGCCCTGAGTATTCCTCTGATAGCTCTCTCTTACCCCCTTTTAAAAATAATTTCACCTGTATATGATATGTATTATAAGTCAGTTAGTTTAAACCTATCCATTAAATAGCTGAAAAATCAGCCTTTTGGCATTTATACTAGATAAGGTTGCATGTACAATAAGTAATTCTTATTACTCCCACCCTCTTGGGAATATGTAAGTTACTCTATTATTTATTTCACTCTCCAAAAAGTTTTCTTTTAATTATGAAATATTTCATAAGAACAGAGTGTAATATAAAGAACTGTCATTAATTAATGGTTTATTATTTAAGGAATTTGTTGGAGTTTTACTAATAATAGTTCTATTATAATTAGCATTCCTTTAAGGATGGACGGCTTATAAATAGAAAAGTATGCTGTCTTGAGAGTATCTTTTCTAGTTACTTTTACAATGTTCTTAGGTTATAATGAAATTTTACTTAATTGCAAATAGCTTATTCTTTTAATCTCATACCTGCTTTATAAAATATTTAATGTATTTTTATAAAAGGATGGGAAGAAGTAGGTTTATAGTTGTGAGAATGCAAACACAGTTTATTCTTGTATTATCATTTATTATTGTGTTACTGTCCACATGAACAGCTGTAAACCTAGTTTTGCCCCATCCTGTATATACTTTTGTTGTATGTAATTCTTCTTGGTTTCTAGCTTTCAAATTATTTTGTGTGTGTGTGTGTGTGTGTGTAATTTTTATAAAAAATTATTTGACCTACCAAAGCAATAAGAACTGATTATAGTTTTGTAAATAAATATTATTATAGGTTACTTTTAATATGGTTAATTTGGAAATGTTATATTTTGTGATTAAAAATGAAGTAAGAAATTCTATACATTTGAAATGTAGAGTAATAGTGATATAAAGGCTTAATTATTTTCTTAAAAACATTTGATATAATTAATATAACATATAGAATTTAAACAATCATGTCTTTCTTAAAAAATGTTTTTTTGTGTTTTTTTTTTACTTGTCTGTTTAAATATGTTTTTATTGATTTTAGAGAGAGAAAATGGGGGAGGGGGGAGAAACATTGATGAGAGAGAAACATTGGTTGCTTTTTGCATGTATCCCTAACTGGGACTGAACCCACAACCTGGGCATGTGCCCTGACCAGGAATTGAACTGGCAACCTTTCTGTGCATGGGATGATGCTCAACCAACTGAGTCACACCAACCAGGCCAAAAAAGTGTCTTTTAAAACTGAGACTTCTAAAAGAACACATAGGAGAAAATCTACCATGGGTAGGCAGACATTTTTCAGGTAGGGAAAGAAGTCCATAAATCATAAAAGGAGCCACAGAATGGGGAAAATATTAAAAAGTATCTGATAAGAGTTTTATCTAGAGTTTATAAAAAATTCTTATAACTCATTTGAAAGACCAACAACCCCCCCAAAATGGACAGATGATTTCAGCAGAAACTTCATAGTATAAGATATTTAAATGGCTCAGCCTCAATACGTATCAAGGAAAGCAAACTAAAACCATAGGAGATATTATTACACATCCATTAAAATAGCTAAAATTTCAAAAGACTGACCATCTCAAGTGTTGAGGATGTGGAATAGTTCTAAACTCATATATACTGCTGAAGGGATTATGAAATTATGAAGCCACTTTGGAAAATTAACAGTTTCTTAAAAGATTAACCTATACTTAACCATATGATGCAGCCATTTCACTTCTAGGTATTTATTTAACCAAGGTAAATATAAACATATGTCCTCATAGAGACTTGCATATGAATTTTCATAGCAGCTTTATTCACATAGCCAAAAACTGAAAACATCTCAAGTGTCCGTCAGCAGGTGAATGGATAAATATGAATGGATAAACCAAGCCATGCTAGTGTGGTGGCTGAACATCAACCTATGAACCAGGAGGTCTCTGGTTCAATTCCAGGTCTGGGTTGGGGGCTCAAGCCCCATTGGGGTCATGTAGGAGACAGCCAATCAATGTTTCTCTCTCTTCTATTCCCCCTTCCCTTTTCTCTATCTCTAAAAAATAGTAGGGACATACTTAAAAGAAGAAAAAAAAAAGAATGGATAAACTCATGCCATTGAATACTACTCAAAAATAAAAAAGTAAAGCTCTAGCCCATGTGACTCAGTTGGTAGGAATGTTGTCTTGTATACTGGAGGGTTACAGGGCACATACCACATACTTTAGTTACAGGTTTGATCCCCAGTAGTGAAGTTTTCAGGAGGCAACTGATTGATATCTTTTCTCTCTCCTTCCCTTCCCTTTTCTCCCTCTCCTTCTCCCTTTCTTTCTTCTGCTCTCACTAAAAATCAGTGAAAAATGTCCTAGAGTGAGAATTTAAAAAAAGAATAAAACAAGTATGAATTATTGATACAAAGAACAACATGGATGAATATCACAAGTATTACAAGTGAAAGAAACAGAGACAAATAAGTATATTTGTAAAAAAAATGCCAGTTGATCAATAATTAAGACAGCAGATATTTCCCATTTTGCCTGGGAAAAATGGACTGTAAAAGAGCATAAGGAAACTTTTAGGGTGATGAAAAATATCTCAGTTGTGATATTAGTTTCATGAGTGAATAAAGACTCAGAACTCATCAAATAAAAGTTTTAGAAAGGATACATTTTATTACATATAAGTTACAATTTAATAAATTTGATTTTAAAAAGACTGCTTTTAAAAATGTTTATATTTTTATATGATTAACAAGTTTATTATTTAATATTTCTACAGATAATTTAATGCTATAACAAACTTTTGAGTACTTGTTATTTGTAAAATAAGTCATTTTGAGGTAATAAAGCACAGCATCTTAATTATGTACATGTTAAAAGAACCATATTGTAAAAGGTGTATTTCACATAACCTTAGGTAAGCTTATGTGACTATATATTTACTAAGAGGTTGAGTTTTTTCAAAATATAAGGATTTCTGTAGTTTTATTGTATGAAAAGGTAGAGCTTGTCTTATCTGTGATTGAGACAGCCAAACATAAATTATTTAATTTTGGGTTACATCAGATAAAATATAGTAGTCACGTACTTCAGTCTTATTTCACACTAGATGAAAATTGTTTTTTTTTTTTTAAGGCAATTGTTCTTTGTTTTCGACTACATTTCACAAAAGATAATATTACCAATAATACAGCTGCTGCTACAGTGCGACAAGTTGTTACTGTTGTTTTTGAGAGGATGGTCGCTGAAGATGAACGGCACAGAGGTAAAGTGACAAAAGTTGTTTACTTTTGAGTGGATGATTCTTATATCCATGATTTCTCATTTGTTGATTTTTAGCCTTTTTCCTGTAAATGTAGGCTACCTAAAAACAAGAATACTTTAAAAAATATATTTATCTTAGCAATATTATTATATTGATAATAGCAATTCAAAAAATAAATCTCCCATGCTTTTATCATCCTAGAAGTCGACTCTTTATTTTAATTTATGTTTCTAATTATACTTTGTTGTTATTTTATAATTTAATGAACTAGTCTCCTATTATACACTTAACATTGTGTTCTAAATTTTGGTATTGTTTTGAGTCTTTCTATATAAATTTTTTCCATTTGAATTATTTCTTCAGTGTAAATTCCCAAGAGTGGGCATCCCTCATGTGAATTTTTGCCCTTGCCTATTAATATGTATTAATAAGCAATATTTATATAAAGATTAATCTTTATTTTTATCAAATATATTATGATTTTTGACTTTTTTTTTTTTTTTAAGTTTCCTAAAAATTGAAACATATCCTTTTAAAGAGCTGGCAGATAACCTGTTTGTTTATAGTTTTATAATTTGTTAACTTTTAACTATGGAAATTGTGTTTTCCCCCCCATTTATTATCCTTATTAGATGTAAAACTTTTTTTCATGTTTAGCTGAAAAGATTATAAGGTGGTACCATCATGAGCAATCTTTTTGCTTTACATAGTCAGGGAGCAAAAGATTAAACTACTTTTTCCTTTATATAGTTTTTTTCTTAAACTTTTGATATCATGTAGTATTTCATTTTATTTGATGTTCTTTTGTTAATATTGGTAAAAATTATTGGAGTACTGTCTACTCCAATAATTATTCTACTTAACCTGAAATCTAACCATTGGTCAGATTTTTCACATTTAGTTTTAGGCATTCTGAATCTGTTGATTTATTAAAATACTTTTACTGACTTTAGTATATTAATTTTTTCTGCATTTTCTCCTTTGGAAAATGCAGTTGGAATTCTAGCAGTTTGAAATATTAGGAAATTAAACTTAGGGGATAAAACAGGGCAATTCTTCAATTTGAATGTTTAATATATTCATAACCTTAATATAATTCCAAGATTGAGAGTTTTAGTTGTGCATCACTAAAGATTGCTATCTCATTTAATACTTTCTAACGAGGTAGGGCATACTTAGAACCTCTTTCTTTTCAAGTAGTCATTAAGTTAACATTTATTGGTTTTTTTACAGAGAGTAAGGGAGAGGGAAAGAGAATTAGAAACTTCAATAGGAGATAAGTATCTATCAGCTGCCTCCTGCACACCCCCTACCTAGGACGTGCCTGCAACCAAGGTACATGTCCTTGACCAGAATCGAATCTGGGACCGTTGAGTCCACAGGTCAACGCTCTATCCACTGAACCCAAACTGGTCAGGGCAATAATGTTTTATTAATACTCAAAGAAGTGCTGAGTTGGGAAGCACCGATCTAGCTGACTCTTAGCAAGTTATTTCTGTGCCTATAATTGCCCTAGTAATTGTGGCAGATCAAGTAGTTATTTTATTGAAGATGGTAATATGATAAAGGAATTAACTATGGTGGTAAACTTTTATATGTTTATTTAATATTTAAAAGCACATTTAAAGATCATGTGAATTTCAGATTCATGAAATAAAAGGGCTAGATTATGGGAGACATGGAAAATCAAATGTGTATGTAAAGATAATAAACTTGTTAAAATGAATAAGTCAGTGAACAGTGGTATTTATGACATTTTGTATAAAAATAGATTACAATTTTTTTTTTCCTTTTTGAGGCATATTCTCAACTTATAATTAAAGTTTATAATTCTGTAAACAAGCATTTATTTTAAGCGTACCTTTTAAATAGTATGTAGTACTTGATTTATATAAAGGTCATTATGAACTCCTAAAACTTACTTTATTTTGATTGTAGATATTATAGAACAACCAGCACTGGTTCAAGCCAATAGTAACAGAAGATCTGTTAGTACTCTCAAGCCTTGTGCTAAAGATGCATATATGCTTTTCCAGGTATTTCAGTTAATACAAATAATTTTTATTATCATATATAGTTTTGAATTTTATATTTTGGAATTTTATGTGATTTATTTTTTTAAATGTCAATTTTTAAGATTGACAAATTTTATAGTGTCAGTATTTTTAAAAAATATATATTTTATTGATTTTTTTACAGAGAGGAAGAGAGAGGATAGAGAGTTAGAAACATCGATGAGAGAGAATCATCCATCAGCTGCCTCTTATACACCCCCTACTGGGGATGTGCCCGCAACCAAGGTACATTCCCTTGACCGGAATCGAACCCAGGACCTTTCAGTCCGCAGGCCGACGCTCTATCCATTGAGCCAAACCGGTTTTGGCTAGTGTCAGTATTTTTAAAAAGTTCTGAAATATTAAAGAGCTAATTAATATGGTAAAATGTTATATTTTAAGGAAATAAAATGAGTTAAATGCACAACTATAAAAGAGGTAACTTAAGGATGACTAGTCATATAAAATAATTTATTTAACAGGAAAATTAAGTAATAATTGGCTACTTAATATAATTTGTATAAAATACTTGATTTTTACATTATTTGTTGTGAATAAATCTTTTAAGTAAAATATAATTTATTTGTACTGAAATTTTTATTAATTTTGTGATTAAAGGGTTATTTTAGGTGGATTTTAGTTTAAAGAACATTTGATTAATAATTTATCGGTGTATTCGGTATACTGTTGATGGTTATGATTCATTAATCTGTGTACTCTATATAGTCAGTAGTTGTATCACTGATTTATCTGTGTATTCTATTGTCAATAGTTATGTAATTCTTTAAAAGTTTATATAATCAAGTATACAATTTGTCAAAATTTGAATTACCAATGTTTAGTTTCTAAGGAGTGAAAACAACTACTGTATAAGGATAAATTCTTGAAAATTTTATTAACACTGAGTTTTGAAAAAAAAAATTGTTTATTCCAGCATATGAATGTTTTATTTATTGTTTGACTTATTTTTCTAGGATCTTTGTCAGTTGGTTAATGCTGATGCCCCTTACTGGCTAGTAGGCATGACAGAAATGACTCGAACATTTGGCCTAGAATTACTTGAGTCAGTCTTGAATGATTTTCCACAAGTCTTTTTACAAGTAAGCCATTTGTAGTATCTTGCAACAAAATTAATCTTAAATTTTTTATAGATATTTTTTAAGAAAGCAACATGTATTTTCCCCCCACATTAATAGAATTATAGCCTTAGACTTTAGACTTATAATAATTTAATGTTATCTTACATTGTAGAAGTGCCCTAGCATCTTGAAATTTTAATACTAGAAGGAATCCCAGGATACTGTATATTCAGGCATTTCTCAGTCAATGAATATATGAGGGAAGGTGGTATGTGAGCTATATTTATCATATTTAAAATAGAAGTTATTGATTTTTATTTGTTTATATGTAGCTATATGCTTTTAGATAATTTTTTAAAAATCCACACACAAGGATATGTTTTTATTGATTTCAGAAAGAGGGGAAGGAAGAAAGAAAGAGAAGAAAAGAGAGAGAGAGAAAGAGAGAGAGGGAGGGAAGGAGTGAGGGAGGACGGACGGACATTAGGACATTATGAGAGAGAGATATCTATTGGTTGCCTCCTTTATGTGCCCCTACTGGGAATTGAAATTGTAACCTTTTGATGTAAGGGATATATGTACCCTTATATTTATAGCAGTGTTATTTACCATAGCTAAGATCTGGAAACAACCCAAGTGCCCATCAGTAAATGAGTGGATAAAAAGTTATGGTGCATGTACGCCATGAAATACTATGCAGCAATAAAAAGGAAGCATCTCTTAACCTTTGAGACAGCATGGGGGGACTTGGAGAGTATTATGCTAAGCAAAGTAAGCCAGTCAGAAAAAGACAAGTGTCACATGATCTCACTCATATGTTGAATCTAATGAATAAAGTAAACTGATGAACAAAATAGATCCAGAGACATAGAAGCATAGAACAGACTGTGGAATCTCAGAGGGAAGGCAAGGGATGGTGGTGTGTGAGAAAAGATCAACCAAAGAACTAGTTTGCATTTATGCATAACCAATGGACACAGAGAATAGGGCGATGAAAGCCTGAGGCAGGGACTGGAGTGGGCTAGATGAGGTTAATGGGGGAGGGGGGGGGACTTTTAACAATAAAAATTCCCTTTTTAAAAGAAGGATCTATGACCCTTTGAGACAATATGGAGTGATCTGGAGATGATTATGCTAAGTGGAATAAGCCAATCAGCAAAATACAAATATCACATGATCTCACTTATATGTGGAATCCAATAGACAAAATAAACTGATGAATAAAATAGACCAGAAGCATGGAAACATGGAAGATTGAGAAATCTCATAGGGAAAAGGGAGGCGGGCAGAAAGATTAACCAAAGATCTTATATGCATATGTGTATTGCCCTGGACACAGACAGTAGTGTGGTGAAGGCCTGGGACAGGTTGGGAACCTAGGGGAAAGGGGCAGTGGGGGAAAAAATAGGGGAAAATCTGCAATACTCTCAATAAAGTTTTTAAAAGTACATTGAAATGAATATAAAAATCTGGAAGGAATTAATTTGGAACTAACAATGACTAATTTATCTCTAGGAGTTGAGATTATACAAGGCTTTAAAATATGTTTTTTATTGATTTTAGAGAGAGGAATGGAGAGGGAGAGATATAATCATGGATGAGAGAGAAACATTAACATTGGTTTCCTCTTAGGGATCAAGTCCGCAACCCCGGCATATACCCTGACTAGGAATCGAACCAGTGACCTCTTGGTGCATGAGTTGACACTCAACCACTGTGCCATAGCAGCTGAGCTTTTATTTTTATTTTTTATCTGTATTTTTCTAATGAATCTGATATTTCCCACTAATTGGTTTTTCTTGAGTGAATCTGAGTTTTAAAAATACATTTTTAAAAATTTGTGATTTCGCCTTAGCTGGCTTGGCTCAGTGGATAGAGTGTCGGCCTGCGGACTAAGGGGTCCCAGGTTTGATTCCGGCCAAGGGCACATGTCTGGATTGCAGACTTGATCCCCAGTGGGGTGGTGTGCAGGAGGTAGCTGATCAATGATTCTCATCATTGTTGTTTCTATCTCTTTCTCCTCCCTTCCTTTCTGCAATTAATAAAGAAATATATATATATTTTTAAAAAATTTGTGATTCTGAACAAATGAATTACACTTTGCCTTATTGTCCCTTTTTTTTTTTGTGTGTGTGTGAGATTAAAGGGTTAGAGGATGAAATTTATGTTTGTGTCATTATTCTTAGCCTCAGTGATATTTGAATGATTAAAACAAAATAATGTACATTTGAGGTTAGACATTAAATGTTGACTGGCCCTTATATTTTCAGTAAAATAAGACTAGTTTCACAAGGAATTAACAGATATGGAGAGGTTTTCTGCATAACATACTATGACTATAAGTAAATTTAAGAATTCTTTGCAAGATTTTCTATATTTAAAAAAATGCTTGTCATTGTATTTTTTCATCAGTTTGTGTTTCTGTTTTATTTAACTAATCTAAGTATAACAGAATATTATGCTCATTAATACATCTGCACATGAATGGAATTATCTTTACACAAAAGAATTAATAAATTGTATAACTTATACTTTATTAATCAAGGTTTCTCTCAGCTGCCTATTTTCAATACTTTATCTGTTTGAATTTGTGCAATCTATTTTCCTTCTTCTGTTCTTTTTATTTTTAATTGGTAATGTTCTACTAAAATTAAAAATCCTCACTTATTGTAAAATCATTTAATGTTTGTTTTAATTTAGAGTCTTAAAAAAAACTTACTGACATATTATCATTTTGAATTCACACTGTCAGAGAGCAGTGCTAATTTCTGAATTGTTTGTAAACATTGAAATAATAAACTACATAAACTTATAATAAAGCTAATTTATTCAGAGATTATTAAGAAGTTTATTTACTAGTGAGACTGTTGTAGCATGGAGTACAAACTAAGTAAATTGCTTTTCTTTTCCTTTTTTTTTTTTTTTTTCAAATAGCACCAGGAATTTAGTTTCCTCCTAAAAGAGAGAGTATGTCCTCTTGTGATAAAGCTCTTTTCTCCAAATATAAAGTTCAGACAAGGTTCCAATACTTCATCTTCTCCGGCACCAGTTGAAAAACCATATTTTCCTATCTGCATGCGTTTGCTGAGAGTTGTATCTGTTCTGATTAAGCAATTTTACAGTCTTTTGGTAAGTACTAATTTTCATATATATGTTTTGTGTGTTATTATAGGCAGTGCTCTTTTTATTTAATTAATTTATTTTAAAATTATATTTTTATTGGTTTCAGAGAGGAAGAGAGAGGGAGAGATAGAAATATCAATGATGAGAGAGATTCATTGATCGGCTGCCTCCTGCATGCTCTACGTTGGGGATTGAGCCCATAACACACACATGTGCCCTGAACCAGAATTGAACTGTGATTCCTGGGTCATAGATTGATGCTCTACCACTGAGCCATGCTGACCGAGTGGCTGAGCTCTCGTTAGAAGATGATCTATGATACTTGATCTTTTTCACTTCAGCTAAGCAGACTTTTTTTTATGAGTACCTATAAATATTCTAGATACTATAAGTGGGGGGGAGGGGGGCAGAAAGAATGGGGAAATAATAGTATAGCCATCTACAGAAGAGATTGAATGTTACTGCCTCAAGAAAGAGAAGGCCTATTTCTGTACTTTCCTCATCAATTGGGGGTGATAACTAACTGATATGACTTCCTTTTACAACAATAAGGCAGCTCTAGGACTGTGTTTGCAAAGATGAATCTTCAGAAATATATAAGATATTATTTTCTCAATGTTATAATTTTTTACATTCGACTTAACATATGGGAAGGTTCAGATATTCTGGTTTCTCCAAGGGCAAAAGTTAGAGATATGGTTGTTGTGGGGTGAGGAATGTGATTGATGTGGAATGCTACCCTCTTATTTTTCTGTTTTCATTATCTGGTTTAAAGATACATCTTTTAGAGGACATAATAGAGTAGTAAGTCTTATACTTTTTTAGTTGTAGAACTCCTTTATATTCATAATAAATAATGAGGAGCTTTGGCTTATGTGGATTATTTCTGTCATTATTGTATTAAAAACTAAGATGATACTAAAACCCACACTACATGTTATTTTTTTTGAATTTTACTTTTATGAAAAATACCTGTATTTTCCAAATAAATAAATGTATTGTTTTATTTTTTTCAATTCTCTTTAATGTCTGGCTTGATTAAGATAGCTGGATTTTTATATCTTCTATTTTCATTCTTTTGTTTGGGTCAAAGCATGAAGAAAATCAAACTTCACAAAGATGTATAGTTGGAAAAGGCAGAATTATTTTAATGGCCTTTCAAGTAATAGTGATATTTTTCTTTGATACCACACTAAGCCAAGCCAGTGACACTTTCTTGAAGTGTAAAGTCTGAAGTCATATTAATGACATTTTCATACTCTGTCACATTAAAATTCATTGGTTCATCTTGTGCTTCAGTTATATCTTTTACCATGCATAATTTTAGAATATTATTTTAATTGTGCAAATATTTTAGCACTTTATATGGTGCCAGAATCACACGTTAATATCACCAATCATTTATCAGATTAAGAAACTGTCAAGATTTTGTGGCAGATACAAGTTTCTCTAAATTCTGCTTTTTATTTGAAAGCTTAAATTTTATTATTGGCAATAAATACTGTCAGCTATTTCCGCTAAAGTGACAGGCTTACTTTGTTAATTTTTTAAAAAATATCTTAAAACCCACAAGTCTGAATAGTTATAGTTTGCCATTGCTCTTTTTTCCATAAGGAAAAAAAGTGACAAGGCACAGTTCTTTCCTCCAGACAGCCATTGTGCTTTGATACACAGCAAAAGTGCTTCATGTGTACTTCACATTTTGCCACATAGAAAATTAAAAAGACATGCACTTATGTGTCAGATTTAATAAAATGATAATTTATATTTTACTTTTGTTATTTTGATTTCTTTTACCCATCATTATTTTGTGTCATCAGTACAAATGTCAGCACATTGAAAATGGCAAGTAATATCTTAGTATTGTTAGGAAAATAATTATCACCTCACAGAGCCCCTGAAATAGTCCCAGGGACCGCAGTTTGGAAGCCACTACCCTAGAGACTCAGTGTTTTTCCCCAAAATTCACCAGTGTATCTTGTTCTGAAAAGTTAGGGGTGAAGGTAACTGATCTTATTTTTTATTTTTTATTTATTTTATTAAATTATTATCTGTGTACATATACCATTGCCCCTCACCCTCCCCATACATGCCCTCCCTCCCCAGAGTTTTGTGTCCATTGGTTGTACTTATATGCATATATACAAGTCCCTCGGTTGATCTATTATCTCCCCCAGATCTCTCTACCCTCCCTGCTGTAATTTGACAATCTGCTAGTTGCTTTCCTGTCTCTATATCTATCTTTTGGTTCTTCAGTTTATAATGTTCTTTATCATCCATAAATGAGTGAGGTCATGTGGTGTTTCTCTTTCATTAACTGGCTTATTTCACTGAGCATGATGTTCTCCAATTCCATCCAGGTTGCTGCAAATGATGAGAATCTCTTCTTTTTTATGGCAGCATAATATTCCATTGTGTAGATGTACCATAATTTTTTGATCCAATCATCTGCTAATGGGCACCTAGGCTGTTTCCAAATCCTAGCTATTGTAAATTGTGCTGCTATGAACATAGGGGTGCATATATCCTTTCTGATTGGTGTTTCTAGTTTCTTGAGATATATTTCTAGGAGTGAGATTACTGGGTCAAATGGGAATTCCATTTTCATTTTTTGAGGAAGCTCCATACTGTTCTTTACAGTGGTTGCACCAGTCTGCATTCCCACCAGCAGTACACGAGGGTTCCTTTTTCTCCGCAACCTCACCAACACTTGTCGTTTGTTGATTTGTTGATGTTGGCCATTCTGACAGGTGTGAGATGTTACTGCATTGTTGTTTTGATTTGCATCTCGGATAATTAGTGACTTTGAGCATGTTTTCATGTGCCTCTTGGCCTTCCTTCTGTCTTCTTTTGAGAAGATTCTATTTAAATCTATTGCCCATTTTTTAATTGGGTTATTTATTTTCCTTCTATTAAGTGTATAAATTGTAGATGTTGGAGATTAAACCTTTATCAGTGATAACATTTGCAAATATGTTCTCCCATACAGTGGGCTTCCTTGTTGTTTTGTTGATGGTTTCTTTTGCTATAAAAAAGCTTTTTATTTTGATGTAGTCCCATTTGTTTAATTTCTCTTTAGCTTCCATTGCCCTAGGGGCAGTATCAGTGAAGAAGTTCTCTTGGCATATGTCTGAGATTTTGATGCCTGTAGATGCCTCTAGTATTTTTATGGTTTCCGGTCTTATGTTTAAGTCCTGTATCCATTTTGAGTTTATTTTTGTGTATGGTGTAAGTTGGTGATCTAGTTTCATTCTTTGGCATGTATCTTTCCAATTTTTCCAACACCATTTATTGAAGAGACTGTCTTGACTCCATTTATGTTCGTGCCTTCTTTGTCAAATATTAATTGAGCATAGTGATCTGGATTCTTTATTCTATTCCATTGATCTATATGTCTGTTCTTGTGCCAGTACCAGGCTGTTTTGAGAACAGTGGCTTTGTAATACATTTTGAAATCTGGTATTGAGATCCCTCCTACTTTATTCTTCTTTCTCAAGATTGCTGTGGCTATTCAGGGTCTTTTATTATTCCAAATGAACTTTTGGTGAGTTCTTTCTAGGTTAGTGAAATATGCCGTTGGTATTTTTTTAATATATATTTTTTATTGATTTTATACAGAGGAAGGGAGAGAGATAGAGAGTTAGAAACATCGATGAGAGAGAAACATCGACCAGCTGCCTCTTGCACACCCCCTACTGGGGATATGCCCGCAACCAAGGTACATGCCCTTGACCGGAATCAAACCCCAGACCCTTCAATCCCCAAGCCGACGCTCTATTCATTGAGCCAAACCGGTCCTGGCTGCCGTTGGTATTTTAATGAGGAGTGCATTAAACCTATAGATTGCTTTGGGAAGTATGGACATTTTGATGATGTTGATTCTACCAATCCATGAACATGGTATGTTTTTCCATCTGTTTATACATCTTCCTCTATCTCTTTTTTCAGTGTTGTGTAGTTTTCCACATATAGGTCCTTTATTTCCTTAGTTAAGTTTATTCCTAGGTATCTTAATTTTTTTTGGTGCGATGGTAAATGGAATTGCTTTTTTAGTCTCTGTTTCTGTAAGTTCACTGTTGGTGTATAGAAATGCCATAGATTTCTTGGCATTAATTTTGTATCCTGCTACATTGCCAAATTCATTTATTAAGTCAATTAGTTTTTTAATGGAGTCTTTTGGTTTTTGATGTACAATATCATGTCATTTGCAAATAAGGATAACTTTACTTCTTTTCCAATTTGGATGCCTTTTATTTCCTCTTTTTGTCTAATTGTAATGACTACTTCCGGTACTATGTCAAACAGGAGTGGCAAGAGTGAGCATCCCTGTCTTCCTGTTCTTAGAGGGAATGGTTTTAGTTTTTGCCCATTGAGTATGATGTTGGCTGTGAGTTTATCATATATAGCTTTTATTATGTTGAAGTATAATCCTTGTAGGTAACTGATCTTGATAGGTAGTTCTGTTAATGTATCTATACTGATGAGAGGAAATTAGAATGCCCCAGTTTTGTTGGGACAGATACAACATGTCAAGTATACTATATTTTTTCCATTTTCTAACATCTGAGCTAGGGGCCTCTTTGCCATTTGAATCATTTAGGCTTCATGCTCAGATATCTTTTTAAGGAAAATAACTTTAAGGAATTTATGAAACTTAATTATATTTGGCTAATATCTCTCTCTCTCTCTCTTGCCTTTCACTTGCCACTTTTAAAAAGGAATGAATGGGGATAAATTGGCTTGTCTAACGTAATTTTTTACTTCACATACATTTCTCTAACAGAATATCTTATCACTAACAATCTCATGCTTGCATTTAATATTCTAATCCATGTATTAGTATTTCCACCAGGATGCTTTCGTCTTAAGCATCACTTATCTATTGACTGTTATCCTGCAGGAAAGGACTAGAGGAACTCATCACCCTTCATGCTAATATAATGGAATTAATAAAGTATCTTCGAGCGACAATTGGTCTTAAGCCATAGATACTAATCTTGATACCTACATAGTACTTTCTAAAAAATAAGAATAAACAATTGACCACATTAGCAGATCACTATTATGAGTTTTCAGGGATGTACTTAGACACTGATTTTTTTTCCTATTAGCTTTTCCATATATAATTATTTTCTCTTTTTCTCCACTCCCAAGTAAGAATTTTAATTTATTTAAAATTTTAAAAATTTATTGGTTTGTCCATAGGAATAAGATAAGAATGGAATTTATAATTCTCAGATTTAAAGAAGTATTTTAAAATTTTACACTTTTTTAGGTAACTGAATGTGAGATATTTCTGTCACTTTTGGTGAAATTTCTGGATGCAGATAAACCACAGTGGCTACGAGCTGTTGCAGTAGAATCAATACACAGACTCTGTGTGCAGCCTCAGCTATTAAGGTAAACCTCGACAGTATTTTGTTAAATGTGTAGGTTTGTTTTTATGCCAGTAGGAAGTTTAAGTATTTATTTCCAAATATTAGTGATTTGTAAACAAAAAAGTGGATTGTGTGTATATGAAGAGGTTGGAGTGTTGGTGTGCAAAATAACTGGGAAGTGATAAAAAGTGTCTTAGCAATTGTCAACAGCCAAATTTACTGAGTTAACATGGCCAAGATAATTTTTTAAAAACATTAACCTCAATCTGAACCTTCATCCTAAGTTAGTAAAACACTCAAATATGAAGTTTTAAGTATAGCATTGAGACTGATTTATCAATGTTACTTGGTATAAAAAAGTTAAATATTTTAATATGCCTAAACATTTCCCCCCAAAATATTTAAAATTATTTTACAGATCATTTTGTCAGTCCTATGATATGAAACAACATTCTACCAAGGTTTTTCGTGATATTGTGAATGCACTGGGCTCTTTTATCCAATCATTGTTTCTTGTTCCTCCTACTGGAAATCCTGCTACTGCAAACCAAGCTGGTAAAGGCTCATTCATATTTTCATTTTTTATGTTTTGTCACAGTTTACAGTACTTACTAGTCAGAGATGTTTTATAGATATCTTTGACTAGAGAAATTTAATTACTAAAATGTATATCTATTTTATAAAATTTTGTTATATTTATTTATTATATTTTATATTTTATATATGAGTGTAAAGATTTACACTTGAATAATTTGAGCTCACCGAGGCAACTGTGTTTATTTCTTTCCAGAATATGTTTTCTGATATGTTTTTAGTTACGCTAATCACATAACAAAATCACATATCTTCATTTTAGAAGATAACCTCATTTGGTGCCTCTCTTTAAAGAGTCTAGTTATTATGTTAGGAGGTCTTTTAGTCTCTCTTTTAACAAAACAGGTGAACTTTAAGTATGGAAGTCAATGTCTTCTTGTTTTCCTTTACCTTCTTTCTTTTCCACTTTTTATTTTTTATTCTCACCTCTGATAAAAAGTGATTAACGAAAGGTATATTATAAAGTTTGTATTTTTACTTATTAGTACCTTTTATATAAAAAAAGGAAATGGTGCTTTGGTGAAGCTAGGATGCTCTCTAATAGCCAAAGTAGGATTGATAAATTTCATTTATTTGTATAATATCCATTCCTATAGCATAATTTTAAAAAATTGACCATGTATTTGAATATTATTGATATGTAATTAAGTAGTAACATGGTATCTTTGTTTTCGTCCCCTTATCTGAAAGGAAACAATAATGCAGGTGGCACTGTCTCAGCACCAGCTAACCCGGGAATGTTGGGGATTGGTGGAGGTGTTACTTTATTACCAGCATTTGAATATAGAGGAACTTGGATACCTATTCTGACTATAACAGTACAAGGCAGTGCTAAAGCAACATAGTAAGTAGTAGTAATTGCATTATTTTATAAGGAAATATATTGTTGGGAATGATATTTTATCCTAAAATGTTTCTCTCTGCATTATATTTTACATTTTAGACCTAGTATTTAAAACACATTTTAAAACTAATTTTCTTTTGCCGAATTTTGAGAAATTATTTAAGACTTGATTTTTTTTGTACTATTTGTAGGTTGTTAGCAGCATTATAAAACAAAATGTGATTTCTTTACCTAAGGACCTATTCAGCTGTCTGTATGGAGTTTTAAGTATATAGCTTGATTTTATAAAGCTATAAAACTGTGAACTTAGGTTTTCTAATACTGAGTGACCTTTAGCAAATTAGTTTCCTTATCTATGAAAAGAGAGTAGAGATATATCAACATTTCAGCCAGAAACTCTTGGGTATTCTTTTGCACATGGATTAATTAGTATGCTCACATTGGACTTCCCTGTTGAATTGGTATCTTTCATTAATTCATTGTGAGGTTCCGTCTAAAATTATTTTCATTATTTTCTTTGAAGGTAAAGCATACATATAAATTTTAATTGTGTGTTCTGTTTTTTTAGACTTTTAAGTGTGTAATAATTTGAAAAGTTAACAGGTGTATAGACATAAGTAGTTTTGACATAAGTATAGGTAACATATTCTTTTAGATTTATTTCAGTATGGCTCCCTTCAAAGTTGGCCTTGTGACTTTTTTTTTGCAGTATGACCTTAAGTTTAAAAAATTTAAATAAATGCGTTACATGTTATTTAAGAGTAGAATTGATGTAGTAATTCTAATAAAATATCACTGAAACGGTTATGTAAGGAAGTATGGGCTTTGTTTTAGGTTTGTGATATAAACAAAAAGTATAGTTACCTATTTTTTTTTTTTTTTTTTTTTTTACCATAATGGAATATAGTTACCTATTTTAGCACTTAAAGTCTATACCATAGAATTTGGTAATTAGAGTTTTTTATATTTAGGACTATTTTTATATGTTTTAGCTGCACTTTACCAATAGATTATATGTTCTTTAAAAATAGAGATCTGTTTAACAAGATGCCTAATGTTCATTGGTTTAGTATGTGGCTCTATGAGGCTAATTAGTCTGACAAGGATTAGACCCAAAAACTTGACCCGTTTGAGCTTAAATTTTTTGATCAATAATATACATATATTTTTATTGATTATCAGAATTTTACAATGCTCAGAGTTGGCACTTACTAGAGGTTAAATTGATAGGCTTTAGAATCAGACTGGGGTTAAAAACTGCTGATTAATAACCTTAGTCCAGTGGTCGGCAAACTCATTAGTCAACAGAGCCAAATATCAACAGTACAACGATTGAAATTTCTTTTGAGAGCCAAAAACTGACTTCTGCGCATGAGCCACAAGTTTCAGTCGCACTGTATGTGAGCGTCCGCATGTGGTATTTTGTGGAAGAGCCACACTCAAGGGGCCAGAGAGCCTCATGTGGCTCGTGAGCCGCAGTTTGCCGACCACTGCCTTAGTCCATCATCCAGGGGTTTTGTGAGAAGTTAAATGAGATAATATATATATAAAAAGTAGTCTCAGGTTAAGAGTAATTTCTCAATAAAAAATAGCTATATATGGTATTTTTATTGCTTATTCTAAGTTTTACATTTTTTAATAAATTTACTGCTTATTAAGACTTGATTATGATTCAGGGACATTTACACTTTGGGATAGGAAATAACTTTTATTAGCTTTCTTAGTGATTTTGATTTTGTTTTTTGAGATATTCATATACCATAAAATTCACTCTTTTATTAGCTCTTGACTGGGAATCAAACCTGAGTCCCTTCAGCGCCCAGGCGAATGCTCTAACCAGTGAGCACACTGGCCAGAGCTATAGTTTTTTTTTCTCTTCATTTTATTGAATTCAATTTTTCTTTTTTTTCTTTGTTGTTTGTGCTATTTATATCATTTTTAAAAATATATATATTTTATTGATTTTTGTACAGAGAGGAAGGGAGAGAGATATAGAGTTAGAAACATCGATGAGAGAGAGTCATCGATCAGCTGCCTCTTGCACACCCGCTACTGGGGATATGCCTGCAACCAAGGTACATGCCCTTGACAGGAATCGAACCCGAGACCTTGCAGTCCCCAAGCCGACGCTCTATCCATTGAGCCAAACCGGTCTCGGCTATTTATATCATTTTTATATCTAACAATTTATTGCCTAATTTGAAGTCATGAAGACTTTTGCCCATGTTTTCTTCTAAGAGTTTTTAGGTTCAGCTCTTATATTTAGGTCATTGATTCATTTCGAGTTCATTTTTGTATATGGTTTAAGATAGGGCTCCAGTGTCACTCTTTTACATGTGAAATCCAGTTCCAGCACCATTAATTCTTTCCCCCTTGAATTATTCTCTCTATATTGAATTATCTCAACATATCAAAATCAAGGAAGTTAAAACCATAATCCCCTATTTGCCATGATATAAGACAAAAGATTTCTTGCCCTTTGAAAGCCTTGTCCTAACCATGTAAAAACTGCTCTGAAGTTTGAAGTTGGCGCACTGATGCTCTGTTATTCTCATTGTGTTAGCAGATTGTATCTGAAATGATAGGTGAGCTCAGTATCTCACAATACTTTTCCCGTAAGCAAGCATCTTCCTTTTTATAGGGTTGATTTGATAATACCTATTTTATTTATTATTTTTTTTTAATCTTTATTGTTGAGAGTATATAGAGGTCCCCATTCCCCCCCCCCCCCCCCCCCCATTGCCCCGTTCCAACCAGTTCACGCCCTGCCCCAGGCCTTCACCACCCTACTGTCTGTGTCCACAGGCAAAATCTTTGGTTAATCTCTTCCAACCTCCTTCCTCTTTTCCCTCTGAGATTCATTAGTCTATTTCATGCTTACATGCTTCTGATTCTATTTTATTCACCAGTTTTTCGTGTTTATTAGATTTCTTGTTCATTTATTTTTATTTTTAGATTCAATTGTTGATAGATACGTTTTTGTTGCCATTTTATTGTTCATATTTTTCATTTCTTCTTTCTTTCTCCTCCTCCTTTTCCTCCTCCTCCTTCTCCTTTTTCTCCTCCTCTTCCTCCTCCTCCTCCCCTGCTCCTCCTTCTCCTCCTTTTCTTTCTTCTTCTTCTTCTCCTTCTCCTTCAATATTTCATGTAATACTGATTTGGTGGTGATGAACTCCTTTAGCTCTTTCTTGTTTGTGAAGTTCTTTTTCTGACCCTTAGTTCTAAATTAAAGTTTTGTTGGGTAGAGTAATCTTGGTTATAGGTCCTTGCTATTCATCACTTTGAATATTTCTTGCCACTCACTCTGGCCTGCAAAGTTTCAATTGAGAAGTCAATCAACAGTCATATATATGGGTGCTGTCTTGTAGTTAACCAACTGCTTTTCTCTTACTGCTTTTAAGAGAAAATTCTCTCTTTGTCTTTAACCCTTGGCATCTATATTAATAAAAGGGTAATATGCTAATTAGGCCTGGTCAACCAGGCATCTTCCTGACGTCCAACATCCTTCCAGAAAAAGCCCCGGTGGTGGGGGCTGAGGCAGAGACTGTAAGGGAGACAGTGCAGGAGCAAGCAGTTAGGGGTGAGATCAGGCCAGTGATGGGGAGCAAGCAGTTAGGGGCAATCAAGGCAGCAGGGGAGGGCAGTTAGAGGCAGTCAGGCTGGCAGGGGAGGGCAGTTGGGGGCGATCAGGCCAGCAGGGGATGGCAGTCGGGGCGATCAGGCCTGCAGGGAAGGGCAGTTTGGGGCGATCAGGCCGGCAGGGGAGTGGTTGGGTGGTGATCAAGCTGGCAGGTAGAGGTGGTTAGGGACAATCAGGCAAGCAGGCAGAGGCTGTTAGGGACAATCAGGCAGGCAAGCAGTTTGGAGCCAGCAGTCCTAGATTGTGAGAGGGTTGTCCCACAGGAAACCTGCAGTTGGACATCCCCCAAGGGATCTCAAATTGGAGAGGGTGCATGCTGGGCTGAGGGATACCCCCCTTTGTGCACGGAATTTGTGCACTGGGACTGTAGTCTATATAATAAAAGCCTAAGCAACCATTATGGTGGAACGACCAGAACAACTGGTCGCTATGATGCACACTGACCATCAGGGGGCAGATGCTCAACACAGGAGCTGTCCCCTGGTAGTCAGTGCACTCTCACAGGGGGAGTACCACTCAGCCAGATGCCAGGCTCACAGTTGGCAAGCACAGCGGTGGTGGCTGGAGCCTCTCCTGCCTTGGTGGTAGTGCCAAGGAGCAGAGAGCCAAATGGTAAGGAGAAGCGAGCAGGTGGGTGGTAAGCAGTGAGGGGTCCTGGACTGTGAGAGGGATGTCCACCTGCCTGGAGAGTGGGGCCTAAACCGGCAGGTGGACAACACCCAAGGGGTCCCAGTCTGTCAGAGGGCATTGTCTGGGCTGAGGGACCACTCCACTCCCTATGCATGAATTTCTTGCACCTAGCCTCTAGTTTTAATTATGATGTGTCCTCGTGTGGGCCTCTTTGGGTTCCTCTTGTTTGGGACTCTTACTTTCTTGACTTATAAGTCTATTTCTTTCACCAGGTAGGGGAAGTTTTCTGTCATTATTTCTTCAGATAGGTTATAAATACCTTTCTCTCTTCTCCTTCTGACACCCCATAATGCAATTGGTATGCTTGAAGTTATCACAGAGGCTCCTTACACTGTCTTTCTTATTTTTGGATTCTTCTTTTATTTTTTGCTCTTCTGCTTGAACTCTGTATCCAATAGTTGGCTTGTTTCCATGTCTTCGCATTTTGGCTGCTTCCCTGTATTTGTTTCTGTGTGTTAGGTAGCGCTTCTATATCCCCTGGTTTTGATGGAGTGGCCTTGTGCAGTAGGTGTCCTGTAGGGCCCAGTGGCTCAGCCTCTCAAGCCACCTGAGCTGGGCACTCTAGTGCGCCCTATGTGGGCTGTGTGCAGTCTAATAGTTGAGCCTTGATTGCTGATGGCATCACTGGGAGGAATTTACCTCTGGTCTCACTGGCTGTGAGGACCAGCTACAACTATAGTAGGAGAGCGGCTGTGCAGGAAACACCCCTATGGAGTAGGACTTGCTTCAGTGGGGCTTTGGTGCTTACCAAGTTTGCTTCTTGAGTGTATTGCTTGTGGATGTGTAGATTTGTAATCTTATATGGTCTAAAGCTGTCTACCTGGTGCACTGGCTCTAGGGCCTCCAGAGAGGTGCAAAGTTAGCCATTGCATGGGCCACCCTGCAGGGGATATTTGTATGGTACTTGGAGATGCCCAGGTGAGGCCCAGCTGTGAAGCAAGGCTATTGCTCTTGCACGGTCTTGGGCCTTTTATTGATCAGTTTGGGGCATGCTGACACCAGCTGCAGCTTGTTTGAAAGATGTTAGCAAAGTCTGAAGCATGAGTAAGACAGGCCATTCATACAGAAAAGCTGCTGCAGACAGGTTGAGTGGGACTGAAAATTGGATGGGGTGAGGTCTCAGGAAATCACCAGAATAGAGCAAACAGTGTGGGCCATGCTGATGGATATTAGAATATGGCTGCCAGTCAGCCCTACCACTGGAGAGGTCCCAGCACAGGAACAGTGACCTCTGCGAGCACCCCAGTCTGGTAGAAGCTACGTCCGAGTTCCTGCCCTGATGCCAGATAATCCAGTTCCTCCTGTATGTGTTTGAGTCCCCCAGAGCCGTTGCCCAGTGCTGGAACTTAGAGGAAGAGGGACCTTGTAAGTTTGTGCATAGGTCCTTTAAAAGGAACACCTTAGTCTCCAGCAGCCTTTCTGTCACTCAGCCACAATCCCTGCAAGTTTTTACAGCCTGAAGTTTGGGGACTTCTCTTCCTAGCTCTGGGAGCCTGGACTGGGGGTCTGGTGTGGGTCTGGGATCCCGGGCTCCTCACAGGTGGCCTCCGCAGAGATAATCTTCCACCAGATTAAGCACACATAGGTGACAGACTAGCCTGTTTCCTGGCTTCAGTCCTCTTACCAATCACATTGTGTTGCTGCTTCTCTGGTTGTAGAACTTTCATTTAGCAGCTTACAGGCAGTTCTGAATGATGGTTGTTGTGTATTTTAGTTGTAATTTTTAGAGGTTCGTTAATACCTTATTTTAAAAGCACCAAGTCAGTTTGAGATGTTTTATAGTCAGTTTAAGTCCTATTCTATTTTGTATGTATGTATGTATGTATTTATTTACTTTTAAATCCTTTATTGTTTAAAGTATTACATATGTCTCCTACCTCCCTCCCCCCATTGAATTCTTCCTGGCCATGCCCACCCTCCAGCACATGCCCTCACCCCCCCCCCTAGTGTCTGTGTCCATTGGTTATTTTTATATGCATGCATATAAATTCTTTGGTTGATTTCTTAATCCCACCCCAGTTTTTATTTTTTTTAATATCAACAATTCATGAAAATATTGGCACAATTGGGGGGAGAGGCAAAAACTAAATTACTCAAATAATTAGTATGGCAGTGGTCAGGCTATAATTGTGCTAATTAGTTTCTTAGATGTAGGAAGATAAACAAACAGTAATGTCCACTTACTTTTACTATTCTATTAAATTAAATTTCTAGAATCTACATATTATAGAACTAGTTTCATGTATTTTCATCATTGTAGTTTCTCACTAATGTTCTGTTTTTTTTTCATAATTTCAGCCTAGAGATGTTGGACAAAGTTGAGCCCCCAACTATACCAGAAGGTTATGCCATGTCTGTGGCATTCCATTGTTTGCTAGATCTTGTCCGTGGCATCACTAGTATGATTGAAGGAGAGTTGGGAGAGACTGAAACGGAATGTCAGCCTACCAGTGAAGCCACTTCTTCAACAACACAGTCATCAGAACAGCAAGAATTACAGTCAACAGCAGATGAAATGGATAAGGAAATAGGTATATTATTGAGATTCTATATTTTTAATTTTATTTGGAAATAATTCTGACTTCCCAGTTGTTAACACCACCCTATTTGTGTTATCATTCTCTATTTAAATATATGCCACTATACTTTTTTTCTGGACCATTTGAGTAAGTTGCAGACATGAGGCCCCATTTTTCCTTAATATATTAATATGTATTTTCTAGAATTAAGAACAATTTCCTACATAACTACTGTACAGTTCCCATCAGAAATTTAGCATCAATCCAATATTACCATCGAATTCCAGACCCTATTTAAATTTTGCCAGTTGCCCCTTTATGTTTCTGGATCACATATTAAGTTTAGTTCTATGACTCTGTACTGTCCTTTAATCTGGGAAGTTTCCTTAATTCTTTTCATGTTTCATATGACCTTGACATTTTTTAAGAGTATAGACTAGTCAATTTTAATTTGTCTTTTGGTTCCTCATAATTAGATTCAATTTAATCATTTTTGGCTACTGCAGAAATGTTGCTATGCTAGACTTACTGTGTTCAACAAACGTCAATATGTTTCATAATTGCTGACATTAACTTTTATCATTTGGTTAATATGTCTACCTTGTTTTTTCTGTGTAAAGTTAATTATTAACTTTTTGTGGAGAAATGCTCTGAGACCTTTACTTTAAAAAATATATATTTTATTGATGTTTTACAGAGAGAAAGGGAGAGGGATAGAGAATTAGAAACATGGATCAGCTGCCTCCTGCACACCTTCTACTGGGGATGTGCCTGCAACTAGGGTACATGTCCTTGACTGGAATCAAATCTGGGACCTTTCAGTCCGCAGGCCGACCCTCTAGCCACCGAGCCAAACCGATTAGGGCTAGACCTTTGCTTTAAAAGAGATTTCCCTTCTCCCTCATTTTTTTTTCCATTCATTTATTTATATCAGTATAAATTCTTAAATTCATATTTTATTCAAAGAATTATAATCTATGATTATCATTATTTGGTTTGACTCTCAGATATCCTCAACAGGGCCACTGAGGACCCCTTTTCAAGATAGCACATCTGTTTCGTGTCCTTTTGTCATTTTCTGAGCACTCTTACTATCTAATACAATAAATCTTCTAAGCTTATCTTGGTCCCCCCCCCCCCCCCCCCAGTTCAGCAATCAGTTATTTTTCCAAGGAGTTCTAGTTCTTTTCATGGGGAATAGTATTTAGAAACTAACACATGGGCACTAGGTATACTTCTTGGTACTTGAATAGGAAATACACAGAAGCACGCATTTCTCTACATTAAAAAAAATATTTCTCTGAAATATCAAGAGATCACACCAGTTTTTTCAATTCCAATTTAATATGACAAGATCTATTTTTAGATTTCCATATTTGTAATTCCCTTCTTCCATAGAGAGAAACTTGATCCCATTTTACTCAACACGTTTACTTTTTTTGCTTGATCCCCAATGTATATAATCAATCTTATTACATTGATTCATTGCCAGCTGGTCACATAGGGTGAAAGTTTGGCCCAATTAATGGGGAAAGGAATAGGAATTGATCTGATATGTATACTTAAAAGTTACAAGTAAACTTGTATATAGAAATATCTTACCATTGATATTTTAAAATAACTTTAAGGCTTGCTAAATTCTGAAACTATTATGTGGTTTTTAAGTTTTCATTTATTCAGATATATTTTAAATATAATAGCTTTAATAATGAATAGTTAAGTTGTTGGTGTAAAAATGACCAGGGAGATTTTAGAATTTGACATATTGTCAAGTACTATGACATCTATAATTATCATCAAGTAGTTTATTTTTTATTTGTTTTGTTTTAAGTTAATAAAGCTGTTTGGGAAGAAATGGTGAATGCCTGCTGGTGTGGTCTACTTGCTGCTCTCTCACTCCTTCTTGATGCCAGGTATTAAGTCTTTGTAAGTTTTATATTGCATTTGATAATTTAAAAAAACCACTAAAATTACTTAAATTTGTCCTAAGTATTATTTTCTAATTTTAGTTTTTATATATGTATAATACTATTCTTTGTTTTATTTTTATTTTTTTTAGAATGGTTTACTGATTCCTAAAGAGAGAAGAAAGGAGAGCGAGAGAGAGAGAGAGAAAGAGAGAGAGAGAGAGCGAGAGAGAGAGAAAGAAACATTGATGTGAGAGAACAACATTGATCAGCTGCCTCCTGCATACCCTCTACGGAGCTCACAACCAGGCATGTGCCCTGATCGGGAACTGAACTGACAACCCAACCAACTGAGCCATACCAACCAGGGCATTATTCTTTGTTTTGATTTTCCTCCCCTATTTTTGCCTGGAAAAAACAATCCTAAAATTAAAGAATGACTTTTTCATTTCAAGCCTTACTATTACAATTATTATAGTCATAGTATTCAATTTCTTTGCTGTTTTTCTTCACAATTGCAGAATTTACTGATTTTAAAATGCTTAATATTTTTAATTTTCAGGCATATGTTAGTTAACATTTCTTCTTAGGTATATTGATTTTGATAATTTTTAATAAATTTTCTTAAAACTTCCTTGAATACTTAATTCCACTGTAATTAAAAATAAATTAATCATATTAACCACATTAATGAAATACTTTATTTTTTCAGCACAGATGAAGCTGCCACTGAGAATATTTTAAAAGCTGAACTGACTATGGCTGCTCTTTGTGGAAGACTGGGCCTAGTAACTTCAAGAGATGCCTTTATAACTGCAATATGCAAAGGTTCCCTGCCTCCCCATTATGCTCTTACTGTACTGAATACCACCACTGCAGCCACCCTTTCCAATAAATGTAAGTCTTCAGTTTACTCAAAGTTCTCTTCATCTAGTGGGCTGATATTGCATAGAGAAAAGATTATAGAACTTCTTAGTTCAAGCCTCTGCTCTTCTATTCACTGACTCTGTGACTTCTATGAGAAGTTAATGTCCCTAAACCTTAGTTACTTTTATTTTTTAAAAATAGTGCAAATGAGGGTAGCGGAAAATAATATTAATTTTAAGCAATAATGGTGAAGATAAATCTGGAAATCCTTTGTAAACTATAATATATTGTCAAAATGGTGTTTTATATGTTTTTTTTTCCAATGGAACTAGTAGAACAACAATGTTTGCAACTACTTATATTAAATTGATAATAAAAAAGTTTTTTTCTTGTTGAATACTTTCAACATTCAAGTTTCTTCCATGCAATGCAAATATATTTCGATAAGATATTCAGTTTTTAAACTGCAAATGTAAATTTTGATCTGTAATTTTAATTAAAAAGTTTACTGGGAATACATGTTTAAAATAGAGTTCTGATTCTATTTTAAATTCTTACAAAGAAGTGTACCAAAGTTATATAATTTGTTAAAGTTACATAGAAAATTAATTTACTTAATATTTGCTTAAGTTGTCTTTGTTTTAGCCCTTCCCGAGTTTTAAAAATGTTTGCATATCGGTAGCTAAGTCATCATTGAATTTAGTTTTGTCAAATTAATGTCTTAAAATGTAACATTACTTTGAATGCAACATAAAAGTTATATTTGAATTACTTAGGTATTTGTTTCTATTGTAGCATATTCCATTCAGGGCCAAAGTGTTATGATGATAAGTCCATCAAGTGAATCTCACCAGCAAGTAGTGGCAGTGGGTCAGCCCCTAGCAGTCCAGCCTCAAGGAACAGTAATGGTAGAGTACTTGTTCTTTTCTTGTTTGCCAATTAACTTTCAAGGAAACTTATATATATATAATGTATCTTACTTACTTTTTTTACCTGGTGGTTATCCCTAGAAGAAATTAGATAAATATGCAGTTCATATTATCATAATCAGCTATGATAACAACTTTTTAAAAAAATTTCTTTATTGATTAAGGTATTACATATGTGTCCTTATCCCCCCTATTACCCCCATCTCCCTACTCATGCCCTCACCCTTCTGTTGTCTGTGTCCATTGGTTAGGTTTATATGCATGCATACAAGTACTTTGGTTGATCTCTTCCCCTACCCCACCCTCCCCTACCTTCCCACTAAGGTTTGACAATCTGTGATGACACAACTTTTAAGGAAATGAATATATTCTGTGTAAAACCACCCAAACCTATTTTCTTAGTGTTTTTGGTGTTTTTTTTAATTTGAATATAACCTATTTTCTTAGTATTTTTGGTGTGTTTTTTATTTGAATATGATAATGCTGCTGTATAGGCTTTTAATTTTCAAGAATGCATAGCAGGTCTGCAAATATATCCTTTTTTTAATATAGTTAACATCCAAAAATATCCAGTGTATGAGGACTTTACTTAACTTGGCACACTGTCATGGGGCTGTTCTTGGAACATCGTGGCAACTTGTCTTGGCAACTCTACAGGTATGTTGTAGTCTCTGGATCAGTGGTCAGTATTGTTTTATATCTAAATGCTAACAATTAAACTAAGCAATGTCCATTGGTGCTTTGAACAGGCTGAAGGAATAAGCAGTAAATATGAAAAGGGAGAAATTGGAAGGGAAAGAAGACATGGCTTATGTTGTATGAAATAATGGAATAATTCTCATAATGCCTATGTTCTAGACTAAGTTCTATGTTTGGTGTAATAAGTATTTTGAATGACTATTGCAGATTTAAATCTGTTGTTAAAAGCCTACTACTGATTTTAGTTTTAGTTAGTAAAAATTGCTACTGAGTTATAATTTTCATTATTAGAATTTTTATGCTTATAAATTTCTTTTTGATTTTTAAAAACATTTTCAGCATCTTGTATGGATTCTGGGATTAAAGCCTAGTAGTGGTGGTGCCTTGAAACCTGGGAGAGCTGTAGAAGGACCCAGTACAGTAAGTTCTAGTTATTCTTATTCAATTAGTGCTTCCCACAATGTTCATAGGTTACATTAATTTTATTTTTCTCTTAGGTTCTAACAACAGCAGTGATGACAGATTTACCAGTGATTTCCAATATACTTTCAAGATTGTTTGAAAGCTCACAGTAAGATCAGGTTTTTAAATTGGTGGAAACATTATTATTAGCTATTATAAGGCAGCATGTCTTATTCATTTTTTTATTTTAGGTACCTTGATGACGTATCATTGCATCATTTAATAAATGCGCTTTGCTCCTTATCCCTAGAAGCAATGGATATGGCCTATGGAAATAATAAGGTGTGGTATTCTACCTCTTTGTTTTAAATATAGCACATTAATTAAATAAGGGTGTGTGTGTACTCATTAGGATATTAGTATCTCACTAATCGGACTAACCCTACTCTGTTGAATTTTTACCATTTATGTTGTTTATTTGTTGATGGAATAGTGATTTGGCTTGTGATATATCCACGGTGAAGCAAAAGTAGGTTTACATTGTTTGTATTGAAAGTAATACAATAATTCTATCTAATAAAGAGTAAAATGCAAATTTACCATAACTCCACTATACCCTCAAGTCACACCCACCAGCCAATCAGGAGTAAGTATGCAAATTAATCCAACCAAGATGGCAGGAGGCTTGGGTTTCCCCAGCAATTGAGGAAGCCAAGCTTTCTGCCTGCCCTGGCCTGCCTTGGCTTCTGCTTAAGGCTACAAAGTTTCAATTATAGAAGATAAATAAATCCCAACAAAAATGGCAGCAGCCACAGAGCTGGAGAGAGCAGGAGATTTGAGTTTGCCCCTGGTGATGGAGGAAGACAAGTTTCCGCAGCTCTGGCCTGCCTTGACCTCCGCTTAAGGCTACAAAGTTTCGATTATAGAAGATAAATAAATCCCAAGAAAAATGGCTGCAGCCACGGAGGAGCAGGAGGCTTGGTTTCCCAGGCAATGGAGGAAGCCAAGCTTTCCACAGCCCTGGTCTCAAGGCTACAAAGTTTCAATTATAGAAGATAAATAAATCCCAGATAATAGGGCCTCTGCTTTGGTTGGCAGGAGGGCATGGCTGGCCTGCAAACCACCACAGGTCTGCCCCACGCCCCAAAGGGAACCCCCATCCTGATCTGGGACACCCTACAGGGCAAACCGCCAGTCACCATGCCTGCACCAGGCCTCTATCCTATCTAATCCTCCTATCTACTGTGTTTCCCCGAAAATAAGACATCCTCTGAAAATAAGACCTATCACATGGAAAGATAAGACATCCCCTGAAAATAAGACCTAGCGCAACTTTGGGAGAAAAAACTAATATAAGACACTGTCTTATTTTCGGGGAAACAGGGTAATAAAAGAATAATATGCAAATTGACCGTCACTTCAACACCCAAGATGGCTGCTCCCATGTGGTCAAAGATGACTGACTCCATGTGGACACAAAATGGCTGCCACAGGATGGCCAGCAGGGGAAGGCAGTTGGGAGGGACCAGGCCTTCAGGGGAGGGCAGTTAGGGGCAATCAGGCTCACAGGGGAGCAGTTAGGCATCAATCAAGCTGGCGGGGGAGTGGTTAGGGAGTGATCAGGCCAGCAGGCAGAAGTGGTTAGGGGCAATCAGGAAGGCAGGCAGGTGAGCACTTGGGAGCCAGCAGTCCTGGATTGTGAGAGGGATGTCTGACTGCCCATTTAGGCCTGATCCAACTAGGATCAGGCATTCAAACATCCCTTGAGGGGTTTCAGATTGGAGAGGGTGTAAGCTGGGCTGAGGGTCACCCCCTCTCCATGCACGAATTGCATGCACCGGTCCTCTAGTTAATAAATAATAATCCAAGAATAAACTGTTTTGCATACTCACTACCACAAACCTACTTTTGCCCTACCTGTATTGTTATTTTAAATAAACAAATAATAATAATTTCTCTATAAATACATTTTTTCTTGTGTACTGAATATTTCTCAAAATATTTTTCTATAGAACAAAACACCACATTTATAAGTAAGTTATATAAAATGTCATAATAATACAATTATAATTTATGATTGGGATAATACAAGATTTAAATCAAGGAATATATGCCTCAGTTTCTCTTGTCTTTTTTGGGATTGAAAATAAGGAGCTTATCATTTCTTTCTGAAGGTAATAAATGACTCTCCCTACCTTGAAAATTAATTTTTTGCTTTGTTCATTGACTACATGAATAGAAAATACTTTGGAGACAATGTCTTTCTATACTCAAAATATCATTCCTATTATAACTGGGAAGCACAGGAATATTTTGATTTATTTATATCTTAGCAATTATTTAAAGTAAAATGCTTTCTACATCTTACAATGAATAAATATAGTTGACTATTTATACATAAGTGAAGATTCACAAAAAATGATTAAAAAACAGAATGCAAATCTGTTTAAATCTAAATATAGGACCCAAAATTATGTTGACTACCTAGTCCTTAATTATAATTCTGTATACTGTGGCTTATCTTGTTCATGTGATTCATTTAAAGATTAGGTCTTATTAGAGCAGTGTTTTGTATATTATAGCACATAGCTACAGAATTACATAGACATCCAGGTGTTTGAAAATATCTAGTGTTATTGTTTACTCCCAAAATAGGCAAGGATAACATAAAATATAGTGAAGTAGTAAATTTCTTAAGTAATTCTACATTTTTAAGATTAATTCTTTATACAAAAATTAAATATTTTTAATATTTAAAATTATTTTTAATGACACTTTTGCAAGTTTAAATGGTGATGTCTTGAGAATTTATGCATTCACTCAAGTACAATGCTTACTTGTTATTGTTAGAAAATATAAGATTTTTACTTTCAAAGAGTATATAAACTCTCTGGCTCATAGTTAAGTGGTAGTTAAGATAGTATGAAAGTCTAATTAAAAATGGTAGTATTAAGTGATGTAACACTGATTCTCTGAATCCTTAGTACCTTGTTACATAAGACATTTTTGGTTTGTATTTCTACTGAAATGAATTAAAGTTAAGATAAATTAGTGTGATTGGAGCTGGAATTGAAGTTTAATGGTAGGATTTAGAAAGGTACGAAAGGGCAGAATCATGGAAATCGAAAGGGAAAAATGTTACAAGAAGTCAAGATCAATGAGGACTGAAAAGAATAAAATAATTTATTATTATTTGTTTATTGCTAACCTAGAGTGGTAGGAGTAGATTCATTATTTCAGAGGTGCTTGGAGGGAACAAATGTTGAGAAATTGAACACTGGATTAGAGATGATTTCCCTGAGAATGGGTTCACATCTCTCTCCATTTTAGGATTTAGTTTTGTAAAGTGCTGATTAATGGAAGGGAAATATCAAGTTTGTAGAAATATTCAAAAAGGATAACATATAATACTTTGAACAATAGGATTTAAAAAATATTCAATATAAATTTTATAAAAATGTTTTTTGTTTTAAATATGTTTTTTATTGATATCAAATAGAGGGAGAGGGAGAGAGAAATAGAAACATCATGAGGAGAGAGAATCATATATCAGCTGCCTCCTGTACATCCTCCACTGGAGATTGAGCCCGCAACCCAGGCATTTGCCTTGACTTCTTGGTTCATGGATTGATGCTTAACCATTGACCCACACTGGCCGGGCAAAAATGATTTTTGTTGTTGTTGTTAATCCTCACCCAAGGATACTTTTCCATTGATTTTTATAGAGAGTATAAGAGAGGGAAGAGATAGAAAGAAAGAAACATTGATGTGAGAAAGACATATTGATTGGTTGCTTCCCACCCTGACCAGGGCTGAGGATCAAGCCTGAAACTGAGGTACATGCCCCTGACTGGAATCGAACCTGGGACCCTTTAGTGCCAAAAATATTTTTTGATGTAGGCGTAAGAGAGTCTATTATTAAACTGTGCTTTCTGAGAGATCAACCAAGGGATTTGTATGCATATATATACTCCAGTAAGCCTAACCAATGGACACAGACACCAGGGCGATGAGGGCATGAGTGGGGGGGTTGGGAGTCATTGGGAGAATAAGAACACATTAAAAAACAACAACACATGCAAAAAAACTAGTGCTTTCTATAAAAATTCTAAATATGCAGATACTAAAATTAGTAGAAACCTCTATTTTCTACATTTTTAAAATTCATTATGATGTTATCAGTGTAAGTTAAATATTCTAGGTATTAAATCACTGTTCTTTAGCTGTGGCTTTACAGTGACCAGTCATCTCATTTTGGTCCTCATTGTAGGAATTTGTGCTAATGGGTTAAGGAAGTAGCTGATGGTAAGGCCTGCAAGTTCTGTTTTAGAAGGAGGTGATGTTAATGATACTTGTGCAGGCATTTTACCATGCTCATATCAATAACAAAAATAAAACAGAATAAAGCATAATCAGGAATAAAAAAGCAAAATAATAGTTTGCTGAATGTCAGACAAATAAATATGTTATTTATAAATAAATAACAGTATGTTATTTAATTATTAAAAACAACTCTGTAAGGTTCAATAGCACTATATCCATTTTATAGATGAAATATGAAATAGCTTAAGTAATTTGTCTGGGATCACTATTTTGTAATTGGTAAAGCTTGGATTTTAACCCATATATGTCTCATTCCAGAGTTCCATTTTAAATCACTTCACTAGTGACTTTTGTGTACATCAAAATCAGCTATAAGATTTTTTATAAATCTTAATGTCAGGGCCATATAAATGTCAGGGCCACATTCTAGGCTTCCTGAGTAAGAATCTTTGAGTATGAGGCCTCGATATCTATACATTTTAAAAAAATTAGATCAGAGGAGAGGGAGCATGTGCTTGTAAGCTCCCTGGTATCTTTTTTTCATGAGGACACTAATCCTATTGTATCAGGATTGTATAATCCTATTACCTCTTAATGTCAGTGATCTCATCAGCTCTATATCCAAGTATTGTAACAGTAGGGTTTAGTGTTTAAACATGTGAGTTTTAGGAGGACACAGTTCAGCCCATAGTAGAATTCTTTTCTTCTGGTTAGAAAACTAATCATTCTGTGTGTCTGAAATTTTTGAATTTCACTAATCCATTCTCACTAATCCATTCTCTTTCTAATCAAATTTTCCAAATAGGAGCTATTCTGGATACTTGAGGGTGGGCAGAAAGACTTATCTCATGAGGACTGGGGTTTTATTATCTTTATTGCTAACTTTGTACTAACTACTCATATATTAATTATAGTCATGCTCTTCAGAGTGTTCTCAGTTTCATTAATAGTTGAAGTACTCAAATTTTTCTTTAAATATCAAGATGTAATTTGCTTTCTCTTTAGGAACCCTCTCTTTTTGCTGTTGCTAAATTGTTAGAAACTGGTCTAGTTAACATGCACCGAATAGAAATTCTATGGAGACCTCTAACTGGCCATCTACTTGAGGTAACCTCTTTTTAAAAATTATTATATTTATTTATTTTTGTTAAGAATAAAGACTTACACAATAAACTAATGACTCTGAATAACCATACACAAAATCAGGATTAATTATATATTTTTATCAGGGACTAAAGTTAATTGCCTTGTAGGAATTCTTTTATTTTGGGGTGAAAATAGGTCCTATATCAATAAAATCTTTGAAGTCTCTTTCAGCTGTTAGTTTGGGTTCTCTTTCTTTTATGATGCAATCTTTTAATCTCCTTATTTTCAGCTATTTTAAGGCAATTAGGATAGATTTAGTAGTAAACACTGCTGCTTTACAGCCTTTCCCATGATTATGAGATAGATCTCCTACAAGGGGAAAAACCTGTTTGGTATCACTACTTGTAGATGGTGCCAGGGAATTTTATCTGGATTTATATTCTGTAGTATTCAAGTTGGGGTGATTCTTAAGCATTAGCTTAATAATAGCCGCTTCTATCATTGTACATGTGTATGTGCCGTTTTGATTTATGATGCCATGATCATTTGATATTAATTTAGTAACCCAACAAAGGTTATATTTTTAATAAGAAAAACAAATGTGCTAGTGCTTCCTCCACCCCTATTTTATTTGGATTACTTTTATGAGCTATTAAAGGACATGTACAGATTTCTTTATTATGGATATTCTCCTTAAATGGCAAAAAATGTGGTTTTTAAAATTATAGCACATTATTTATGAGAGTAGTCCTAATTAGGGACGTTAGTATCTGTTGCTTTTGTTTACTCTAATGACATCATTTACTTTTATGAAATTCTTTCTTTTCTATGACTTGTTTGATTTCATTTTTTATCTTCTGTCTCTCTATTGCTTCCTCTTGACCATTATTCAGAAGGTAAGCTTATTATATTTTGGATACAGTATTTCTTTCAACTCTTATTGATGAATATTTGATGTAATTTTTTAAATGTGAAAGTGTAAAAATGTAATGTTTTTATTTTTATTTCTCAAATTGATATGTAAGCTTAAGTATACAAGTTATATATTTAATTTTGTTCAATTTATTTACCTTCAGGTCTGTCAGCATCCAAATTCCCGAATGAGAGAATGGGGAGCAGAAGCTTTAACTTCACTTATTAAAGCAGGGTTAACATTTAACCATGATCCTCCACTTTCACAAAACCAGGTAGAAAAAAAATCTTTTTAAAAAAAAAAAGTATTTAATGTAAAATCATCTTCTAACATATGTAATTTTTCCTTATTTTATCAAATGGCTGATATTTTGTAAAAGTGGGTTTGTTGCTTAATGTATGATACATAGGCCACGGGTCTCCAGGTTGATATACCTGGATGTTTAGAATTATCTTTATCTAATGTTGAGGAAACTTTCTTGTGCATGACATTGAACTAAGTTAATAAACTACCTGGAATTTGTCTCCCAGTCCAGAACTTTCAGTGTTGGGACTTCATTTTGGAGCCCTATTTTATTAGTCTCTTTTTCTTTCTTTGGTCCTTACCTACCTTTGACATTTTTATTCTAAATACCCTTACATAGGGAGAAAACAAGTGGCAGAAGGGATGAACACAGTAAAATAGATTTTTATTTTTCAGTAATTTACAAAGTTACTTTATGTTTTCATAGTTTACATTAGTCTTGAGTCCTTTGTCCTGACTCACTTAATCATTCATATATATTTTATACAGTTTTTTAAAAGTACACCAAAGGTTCATTGCTTGAAGATTGAGTAGGAAGGAAGCATTTAATGAAGCAACTATTCTCATTGCTCTCATTGTCTTACTGTATTGTAATTGTATTCAACAAATTTATTCATCAAACTAGAGGCCCGGTGCATGAAATCTGAGTACTGGAGTGGGGGGTTTTCCTCAGCCCAATCTGTGCCCTCTCGCAGTACGGGAGCCCTGGGGGAATGTCCAGTTGCTGCAGAAGCAAGAGAGGCTCCTGCCACTGCCACTGCACTCACCAATCTTGAGCCAGCTCAGGGCTTCTGGCTGCACAGTGCTCACCCTGTGGGAGCACACTGATCACTAGGGGACAACTCCTGCATTGAGCATCTGCCCCTTGTGGTTAGTGTGCATTATAACAATCAGTCGTTCCACTGTTCAGTCAATTTGCATATTAGCCTTTTATTATATAGGGTACTTATTAAGTACATAAGGTAGGCAGTATTTTAGCTTTTGGAGTAAAATGATGGGCAAAACAGAAAAGATCTACATTTTTACAGAGCTTTTATTTTAGTGATTTCTTATTTTTTTCCTAACTGCAATTTGTTTTTTTAAAAAAACAAAATCCTTGTTTATGTATATCTTCAATGTCCAGCTTAATACCTTGCACATAGTGAGACCTTACAAATGTGTGTTCAATCAGTCAACCAAATAAATGAATCTTTGGAGAGAAAAAAGTTAAAAATGAAGCAAGTATTTCAGCTGCTGAAAGTAATAGAAAGAAGTTGTTTTTTTAAAACTCTCCAGCAGATTTTATGCTTATATGTCATCTTTGTTTCTTATACTTATTCATTTTTTAAAAGTATTGATAATTTTAAATTTAAATATATATGTTATACATTAATAAATGAAAGGTAATTTTAGAATTTGGAAATTATTTTTCTTTTTATGAATATAGTTGGATATTATATAGATCTATTTCCTTTAGTGAGATTTATTTCTATATATCTATTATTATCTTTTAACATAAGGTCACTCCCCATTTATTCTGAATTCTAACATCTTAAAGATTTTTATTTTCTCTTAAGTTAAAAACGATATAGATGACAAAACACCTAATGATTACAGTTAGAAAATTATATTCAATGTTTATTTTACTATAAAATTTCTGTTTACCATTGTAGTCTGACTGGAGGTGATTTTGAACTTAAAGCCTCAGCAGAGCCTTTCTGTCTTTTTGGGCTTCTTGTCCTAATTACTTTATTGCCCTCTTTTCAGCGGCTGCAGTTGCTTTTGTTGAACCCATTAAAGGAGATGTCCAGTATTAACCATCCAGATATCCGACTCAAGCAACTAGAATGTGTGTTGCAAATTTTGCAGAGCCAAGGAGATAGTCTTGGACCTGGATGGCCATTAGTGCTTGGAGTCATGGGAGCAATCAGAAATGATCAAGGGTAAGTGTTTCAAATTAACATTAAAAAAAATAATAGAGAGAATAAGGGAATCCATCCTAAAATCTTATAGTAGTGGTAATTTTTTATATATTAGTATACCCTTCCTGCTTAAGTTCAAGTTCTACAGTTTTTTTTAACTCTACCCTCAAGAGGCTACAGCGAATTATTAGGGTTATTTGGAAGAATGGAAAAATTGCTGTTTATTTGACATTTATACAAGGATATGTGTTCTTACTTATAATATCTAACAAACTTTATAGCACACCCAAAGATAGGGCTTTCTTTTGTTAAATACTTGGTAAGAAGTAAATTTACATTTATGCCATTTTTCTTGGGATTTATCTTCTATAATTGAAACTTTGTATCCTTGAGTGGAGGCCTAGGTGGGCCAGGGTATGTGGAAAGCTTGGCTTCCTCTATTGCCTGGGAAACCAAGCCTCCAACTGCTCTCTGTGGCCACAGCCATCTTGGTTGGGTTAATTTGCATACTCACTCTGATCTGCTGATGGGCGTGGCTTGTGGGTATAGTGGGGTGATGGTTAATTTGCATATTACACTTTTATTAGGTAGGATTAACTTTTAGGGGGAAAGGGTTTTAGGAAACAGAGTCTGGAATAATTCGCAGATTTCTGGCTTTGCTTAGTGGATAGTAGTCCAAATTACCATAAGGTATATAACTAAACTAGAGGCCTGGTGCATGGATTTGTGCACCGGCGGGGTCTCTCAGCATGACTTGCAGGGATCAGACTGAAATCAGCAGTCCAACATCCCCCAAGGGATGTAGTAGTGTGCAAAGTGGCAGGCAGCCAGGGAGGAGACTGAGCCCAGGCCAGGCGCTGCGTGGCTCCCACATATTTTGGCTTTGCTGTGCTTGCCACCACAGTTTGCCACTCTGCTGAGGTCTTTGAGCGCTCATCCTAGGGCAATACCAATACCGGCGCGCCCATGACCAAGAAGTGGCTATAGGCTCATGCCCAGTTAGTCCTGATCCCAGTCCCAGTCTGGATGGGGGAGGGTCACTCAGAGGGAGTGGCTGTGGGAGAGGCTTGCACCACTGACGCAGCAGTGCCAGCTGTGAGCCCAGCATCTGGTGCCTGTCGGTCAGCTGAGCAGCACTCCTGCTATGGGAGCACACTGACCACCCCTGGACAGCTCCTGCATTGAGTGTCTGCCCCCTGGTGGTGGGTGCGCATCATAGCAAATGGTTAACCCGTCGCTTAGACTTTTATACATAGGGAGAAGGAATATAGAAGAAAGAGCACATTTAGAGTAATGTATGGATTTGTTTAACTTAAGGTAGGACATTGCAGTGGAGAGAGCAGAAATTTGTATGTATTTGTGTGTAATTCTGCAGCAGGATTTGTAATACCTTGTTTTGATAACTAATTTAGGAGTTTTACATGATTGAGATGCTTGAGAATATTATGGAAATCTTATTTTAAAATTTTATTTATAATTATAAATTTCCTTAAGTCCTACAAAATATTGAGATGATTAAAGTAAAAAGATATCAGCTATTGTTTAAATGAAGCTGAAGTTTCTTCTTCCAACCTATAATGTAGTTACAAGATAGGATGTTGTTATATGAGTGAAATGAGTTAATGCATGTAAAACTCCTACAAAGCGCCTGACTTAGTAAACACTCTGTGTTAGCTATTGTAATTCATTTTCATTATTATTTTTTGCCACCAGAATTTATCTTAAAAAATCAAATACTTCATATTCTCTTTATATGAAATTCAAAATTAGTCTTTTCTTTTATAGATGTAGAATTTAAAAATAAGATATAGATATAAAAGAATAAAGAACTAATTTTCATTCAGTGAGTATTTCATTATGTGTATTTATATGTGCTAGACATCATGTTAGATATTAGGGATATAATGGTTGGAGGTAGCTCTAAGCAATTTCCTTTCTCATTTAATGTCTTAAGTTTTGTTGGGCTAGTTAGTGCAAAATAAAAATAATACGGCATTTATACATATTTTTCTTTCCTTTTGCTAGTGTACAGTTTTATTTCTATATCTGTGAAGTTTTTTTATTAATTATTTTAAATAAGCATATTTTAAAATCTCTGTTGAAGTACTAGCTTATCTATATTAGAAAAGATTTTCTTGTTCAAAACTTTAAAATAAAATTTTTATGGTGTAAAATTTTGTTTAAATGCATGAATATAAACTTCTTATTGTTTGTGATTTCAGAGAATCCTTGATACGAACTGCATTTCAGTGTCTTCAGTTGGTTGTGACAGATTTTCTACCAACAATGCCTTGTAGTTGCCTGCAGATAGTTGTAGATGTTGCAGGTAGCTTTGGACTTCATAATCAAGAACTTAATATTAGTTTAACTTCAATAGGTTTATTGGTATGTATCATTGCCTTTTAATAATATAACCTAGAGAGTGAATGGTAAGCAAATACTTGGCTCTATAGGAGTCATATAAATGACTCTGATACCTAACGTATTTGCATAAAGGATTAAGTGACACAATTTAAATAATTCACTAATAGCAGACTATTTGGAATAATTTTGATATATGGAACTGAAATTTGTTTTTTTACATGGTTTTCTTGAGAGGATTTAATGAACTGGTAATAGTACATACAAGAGAAAGAGTTAGTTGACTCTCGTGTAAGGGTTTATTGATTATCTATTATTTTGGAAGCAACATTTTGATATACTACTATTTAGTAAGTAAAACTTCCATAAAAGGCTTCACCATTTACAGAGTCCTATAGCTTGTCAGTGCTGCTTTGTCAGCCGTAAGGAGATTGCACATAATAGTGCAAAAGCCCAGGCTGCTGGATATATATTTTAATTCTGTCTACTCCTTGTTAATTGTTAAATTATTGATCTTCTGAGCCTCGTTTTACTTATTTTGAATATAAAGGTAATAAAATCTAACTTAGGCTATTGTTAAATATTACACAAAGTAAACATGTAGAGAGCTGTTACCAATATAAATTTATTTAAAGGCAGTTATTTAGACTCTTAAATGTATATTATAACTCAGAATTTTAAAAGTCATATTTAAAAATACCCCTCACAAGCTAGATAACTTAGTATTTTGCTATTAAATATATAACCATGGGGGAAAACATAGGCATGTTCTATATGTATATAATTGCTCCCAAAGAGTAGTTTATTAATTCAGTGTTTATTTCTGCTAGATATTACTTTATTTTATATTTATGTTCACAGATATTGGACTCTACATTTTTACCATTGATATCATTCTTATTAATTTACATTCCTTGCTGTGGTTGCGAATGAAGTCATAAGATATGTTTGGAAAATAGTAATTGCTCTTGTATAAAATTATAAAATATTATTCAGTGATATTAAGGAATTGTTAATAATTTTGTTAGTATAATAATGGTTTTAGGTTTATGTTTTTAAAGCCTTTTTCTAGTAGAAATTATAAAATAGGTATAAAGTAAAAATAAAATATCAATAATTGTTATATATAGGTGATGGGTATATCAACATATTGATATATTCTCCCTATTTTTCTATGTTCTTAAAATTGTTCATAATAAATTTATAAAAAATATTAATGTTAGCAAAATATATCTCCCCCATATTCTCCTGAAATCAGATAAAAACACTTGACAGAGGAAGAGATATTTTCATTAAATCCCTTCTTCTAGATTTCTTAAGTAATTTTTAGACGTTTTATTCTAAAAAGTAAAACAACTATGGGTTGCATATTTATATGTGTCTTTAAAATAACTCTATGCATAAAGTGATATATTTCTACTTTGCTTTTTAGTGGAATATTTCAGATTATTTTTTCCAAAGAGGGGAAATTATTGAAAAAGAATTAAATAAAGAAGAGGCAGCACAGCAAAAGCAGGCGGAAGAGAAAGGAGTGGTTTTAAATCGGCCATTCCACCCTGCACCACCATTTGATTGCCTTTGGTTGTGTCTTTATGCGAAATTGGGTGAACTATGTGTGGACCCCCGACCTGCTGTCAGGAAGAGTGCAGGGCAGACTCTGTTTTCAACAATTGGTGCACATGGGACCTTATTACAGCATTCAACATGGCACACTGTTATTTGGAAGGTATTGTAAACTAGCTTGAGTTATCAGCTTTTAATTGGAACACGCATATACTTTTTCAATTGAACTTTTTTCCTGTTTACTTTTTTTTTTTTTTTTTTTTTGAAGGTCAGTGAAGAGGCAAGTGCTGGAGAGAAAATTGGTTCTTATATTAGATCCTTTCACATTAAGTTTAATCTTCTATTCCTTGTTTCATCTAATTTGGGTAGCATTATTTATTTGTTTGTTTGTTTGTTTATTGTTTAAAGTATTACATCTTTCTCTTTAATCTTCTATTCTTTATTTCATCTAATTTGGGTAGTATGTATGTATGTATGTATGTATGTATGTATTTATTTATTGTTTAAAGTATTACATTTTCTCTTTTTCCCCCATTAACCTCTCCTGGGACATTCCCACCCCCCAGCACATGCCCTCATTCCCCGAGAGTCTGTTTCCATTGGTTATGCTTGTATGCATGTATACAAGTCCTTTGGGTGATCTCTTAATACCCCACTCCTGCCTTCCCTCTGAGGACTGATGGTCTGTTCAATGCTTTTCTGTCTGAATCTATTTTTGTTCATCTGATTATGTTATTATATTCTCCAAATGAGTGAGATCATGTGATATTTTTCTTTCTATGACTGGCTTATTTTGCTTAGTGTAATGCTTTCCAGGTCCATTCATGCTGTTGTGAATGGTAAGAGTGCTTTCCTTTTTACAGCAGTATGGTATTCTATTGTGTAGATGTACCACAGTTTTCTAATGCTGATGGGCACTTAGGCTGTTTCCAAATCTTAGTTATTGTAAATTGTGCTGTTATGAACATAGGGATGCATATATCCTTTCTGGTTGGTGTTTCCAGTTTCTTGGGATATTTTCCTAGAAGTGGGATCACTGGGTCAAATGGCAGTTCCATTTTTAATTTTTTGAGAAAACTTTATACTGTTTTCCACAGTGGCTGCACCAGTCTGCATTCCCACCAGCAGTGCACGAGGGTTTCTTTTTCTCTACGCCCTCACCAGCACTTGTTGGTTGTTGATTTGTTGATGATAGCTATTCTGACAGGTGTGAGATATACCTCCTTGTTGTTTATATTTGCATCTCTGGATGATTAGTGACTTTGAGCATGTTTTCATATGTTTCCTGGCCTTCTATATGTCCTCTTTTGAAAGGGGTCTATCTAGTCCTTTGTCTGTTTTTTTATTGGATTGCTTATCTTCCTTTTGTTAAGTTGTATGAGTTCCCTGTAAATTTTGGAGATTAAACCGTTATGGGATACAACATTAGCAAATATGTTTTCCCCTGCAGTGGGTTCTCTTTTAGTTTTGTTGATGGATTCTTTTGCTGTGCAGAAGCTTTTTATTTTGATATAATCCCACTTATTTATTTTCTCCTTAGTTTCTTTCCATTGTCCTAGGAGCTATATTTGTAAAGATATTACTACCATATATGTCTTCTATTTTTAAAAAATATTTTTATTGATTTCAGAGTGGAAGGGAGAGGGAGAGAGAGATAGAAACATCAATGATGATAATCATTGATAGGCTACCTCCTGCATGCCCCACCCTGGGGATTGACCCTGCAACCCAGGCATGTGCCCTGACCAGGAATCGAACCTGGGACCTGCTGGTTTATAGGTCGACGCTCAAGCACTGAGCCATGCCAGTCAGGCTGGGTTGCTGCCTATGGATTCTTCTAAGATTTTTACGATTTCCCGTCTTACATATACATCCTTTATTCATTTTGAGTTTATTTTTGTGAATGGTGTAAGTGGTGGTCTAGTTTCATTTTCTTGCACGCATCTGTCTAACTTTCCCAACACAACTTACTGAAGAGACTGTCTTGACTCCTTGCATCTGGGCATTTGACAAAACCAAAAATGTTAGCTTTGTCATATTTTAAATTGCACTTTACATAAAACAGATTAAATATTTAAAACTTTTTATTTATTTTTGTCTTTACATTTTATCTCTGTCTCTGATTTCTGCTTTTGCCCTTCCTTTTTTGCCCACTTTCCCAAGTGGTAAAAATAGAAATTGCTAAACTATTATACATAATTCAAATATAGTATAATCAAATGAAAATTTTATGAATAAAAGAATATCAAAAACTGAAATTTATTTGCAGAATCATCTAACAAAAGTAACCTTCAATTGGTAAATTCTCTGTTTGTTCATTAAATATAGTTTTCTTTTTTATCCCCTTTTAAAAACTTTCTTACGGCCCACAGCTAGGCTCTTCTTTTTTGTTCCATCTGTTTCATTTCAATAAATTCCTATTTATAATCCTCTTACTGGCTTGTGAATTTTTGAGATCAGTAAATTTGACAGTAGGCAGCATAGTAAACCTTAATTGTATTTAACAATGTTTTCAACTTAATAAAGAGAACTCAGTGTCTTCTTTAAAAATTAATAATGTACGTTTCCTAATAAAAACAGCTAAAAGCCCTTGTGTCTTCTTTCTCAACTTTATCCCCTGACTCCTTAGATCAGAAACATGCTTAAGTTTTTGTTACTGTTTTTAAAAGCAAACTGATATTTTCTCTGATAGCTATTTTCCTTTCACAGCTTCATTATTAATCTTGCTGCTTAATTCTCCGGGATTTATTTCTTCCTCACCTTCCCTGCACTCCCTTATCCCTTGTAATTTGATTTCCAGATCATTCTACTTCAGAGTCTCTTAAAGTTCAGCCAGTAACAGAATCACCTGGAGGATTTACTAAAGCATGGCTTGCTGAGCCACCCCTCTATCCTCTAGAGCGGAACCTTTGTTCTGCCAAGGGGCATTTGGATACTTATAATGTCATTTGCTTGATAGAAAGCACTTAGTATAAATGTATGTTATTAAGATAAAAACGCCTAGATTTATTGAAGTTCTACTCCAACCTTCTGTTGTTGCCTTGGCAGGGCCAGATCAAATGATTTTTCAGGCCTTATACTGCCCGTGGTACAGGCTTTCCCCACCCCTGCTCTAGAGTTTTACTTTTTACCCTTGTCCTGGGACCTGAGAATTTGCATATGTATGACACTCCTGGATGATGCTAATGCTGCTTATTTTGAGACCATATTTTGAGAACTACAAAATTTTTCACAGGCTACAGGTAGCCTTCTAATTGCCAAGTTTTTTTTTGCCCTATACTCATTCCTTATCCTCAATTTTTTTGTAGCATTTAACCTTATTGATTAGTTTCTCCATGAAATTTCTTGGTTTGTATCATAGCATGCTTCTGGTTCTCTATTCAATTTTACTACACTTGATCTTAGCCAAAAGGCCAAGAAGCGATGGTTCTCTATTCAATTTTAATTTATTTTCTTATTCCTTCCTCTGAATCTACCCTTTAAATATAAACATTTTCCAAGTCCTGAAACCATTTCCTGTTTCATTTTTTCACATATCTTCATCTAATCCTGAAGCATCAGTTATAAGCTCCTATCAAATGTCTCCTATAATTACATTTTTTGCCTGGACCCTTCTTATTAGTTTTGTTCTTTTTTAATACATTACCCCATAGATGCTCCACTAACACTTCAACCCACCAGTCTTAGATGTTGTTCTTTCTAATTTAATTTTTTATATTCCATGACTTTTAAGAATACTTCTAGTGTTCAATTTCTTCTACTATAGAGGGATTGATTAGATTGTCAGATATAATTTTGGTAATAATTCCTAATCTATATTATCAATACTTTTTATGTGTATTTTTATAAATATTCAGGTTCTCTTTCATCTATTGGACCGAGTTCGAGAGTCTTCTACCACTGCAGACAAAGAAAAGATTGAATCCGGAGGTGGCAATATTCTCATTCATCATTCAAGGGACACAGCAGAGAAGCAGTGGGCTGAGACATGGGTTTTAACATTAGCCGGAGTAGCAAGAATCTTCAACACTAGAAGATATTTACTGCAACCTTTAGGTGTGTGTGTGTGTGTGTGTGTGTACTTTTTTTTTTCTTTTCCTGGTGATACAGATACTTTATGATAAAGAAAATTTGGAAAATATAAAAGATTTTTTTGAAATTCATATACAATGCTACTTCCAAAGAATAATCTTAACTGCCAATCTTTGTGTTAATGTGCGGTTTTTGCATATGCAGTTTTCATTGAAAAAATAAGTATTACCTACTATGGGCTAGCATCAAGAGAATATAATGAGCAAAATATACACCATCCTTGCTGTCATGGGCATGAGGAAGAAGTATAACTACATTAAAAGTGCAAAATTTCTACAATTGTAAATGCCACAAAGGAATGGTGCATTGTGAGCTTATAATAGGTATTTGACCAGGCCAGTGAGGTCCAGATAGTCTTCCCTAAGAAAGCATTATTTTATCTGAGATTCCAAGGCTATGATATTTCATTAGGTGAGGGTAAAATGAAAGTTGAAGGGCTTTATAGGCAGAGAGAACATGTAGACGAGATTGAAGAAAATTGGGTGGGAGATGTTGAGGACCTTAGCATGTTTGAAGATTTGGAATGAAAGTGCGAGTCCAGATGAACTTGTAGGGTAGAGAAAGGCCAAACCATGCAAAACTCTGGAGGTCATGTTCATAAGTTAGAACTTCATCCAACAGCAGTGAAAAACTACTAAAAAGTTTTAATTCATATTGTGACATGATCAGATATGCAGTTCTAAAGGGTCACTGTGGGTGGTATGAAATGGCAGCAAGGAAGGAAGGCAGGACACTATTAGACTGGTTAGGTTAGGAAGCTGTTGGTACAGATCAGTAGTTCTCAACCAGGGCCAATTTTACCCTCCCCCTTTACCCTCCAGGACATTTGGCAATGTCTGGAGATATTTTGGGTTGTCACCACTGGTGAGGGACAAGTGCTGCTGGAATCTGGGGAGTAGAGGCAACGATGCACAACAAAGAATATCTAACCAAAAATGTCCATAGTACTGAGATTAAAACCCCCCAGTGTAGATTATAGTACCTTCAATTTTGGTGGGAGTGATAGGGTTGATAGAAAAAGTGAACAGAAATACTTTTGTATATAATTGAGCATGCTATACATGTTTTGTTTTTTTAGTTTATTATTTTACTTTTTTTCCCCTGTTTTTGTTGAAGCATAAGCTTATCTTTTCTGTAGGCTTTTTTTGTGTGGTGGTCTTTGTGCACATTTGTTTTTCAAAAATAACATAGTGCTTCATTTTGCATTTTAGGATTAACATATATATATTGAAAACTTATGTAAAACATGTGCAATGAAATGTATCAATTTTAACTGTATATTTGCTGAGTTTTGACAAAATAAGCATCATTTTTAATACCTCTATAATAGTTACTTTAATTTCAAAGCTAAGAACTAATATAGATTTAGATTTTTAGAAAAAAAGACTAGTTTTGTCTTGCTTTGATAATATTTTACCATTTGAAGATTACAAATGTTTTTTATTTAGAATTAAGTTCATATTTTTAACATAAACATGTGTAAATAATTGTCCTACTCTTTCAGAATAAGGACTTTTTTAGACATAGAGTATATAATAAATTGCTTTTGTTTAGCTATTTTGATAGTTTTTATTTATTTATTTATTTAAAAATATATTTTATTGATTTTTTTACAGAGAGGAAGGGAGAGAGACAGAGAGTTAGAAACATCGACGAGATAGAAACATCGATCAGCTGCCTCCTGCACACCTCCTACTGGGGATGTGCCCACACCAAGGTACATGCCCTTGAACAGAATCGAACCTGGGACCTTTCAGTCCGCAGGTTGATGCTCTATCCACTGAGCCAAACCAGTTAGGGCTATTTTGATAATTTTTAAACATAATTTGTCAAAGCTCTTTGAATATTTTACTGAAGAAAATCTGTTTTTTTTTATTGTATGTAAAAATTATACCTTAATTTTTAAGTTAAAAAAAAGAGAATAGAAAAGAGGCACAAAACTGGGAAGGTGTTAGTTTGTCCCATATAGGCAGAGTGGTACTTATTGTTTCATACCAGATCTGCTTCTAGCTTTTCCTATTAATTGAATGCTTCCTGAAAAAAAAAAAAAAAAAAAAAATCAAGTATGGTGCCAGGTGGGTGCTAGAATTATGGGGGGATCTCTTTGTAAATTGTATGTGTCTAACTACTATGCTATACATCTGAAACTAATATAAAATAATATTTAATGTCAACTGTAATTGAAAAACATTTTTTAAAATAACTTAAAATAAAATCAAGTCGTTTATAGCCTTTCCAAGGCTATAAACTTCGATTATTTATATATGTTTTTATAAACTATTTATGTTATCCTTCTTTGAAAAATGTCAATTCCTCTGATTTTTGCATTATTTAAGTGCAAGTATGTAGGTAACAAAGCAGCTCTTAAAGTAAAAATATTTGTTAACAAACCATTGGGCCAGATTGCTGTTAAGAATAAGGACATTTTTTGCCAAAACTGATTTGACTCAGTGGATAGAGCGTCTGTCTGCGGACTGAAAGGTCCCAGGTTCGATTCCGGTCAAAGGCATGTATGTTGGTTGCGGGCACATCCCCAGTAGGAGGTATACAGGAGGCAGCTGATCGATTATTTTCTCTCATTGTTGTTTCTAACTCTCTATCTCTTTCCCTTCCTCTCTGTAAAACATCAATAAAATATATTAAAAAGAAAAAGAAAAAGAATAAGGTCATTTTGCTGGACTTCATAGAAACAAATTACACCTGTGTTGATTATATGTTTAGTTGGTCATAGTAGTAGAGCAAGAGATTGACCAGTGGAAACCAGCAACTACCATTCAGTTCATGCCTTGCTGACTCATTTTCATGTGAGGGAAACAAATTTATACTTATTATTAAAAGACAGTCTATTCATTTTGTCCTGGTAACTATTATGGGTGAAAAATGTTTAAGAAAGTTATACAACTGCCCTGGCCAATGTGGCTCTGTTGGTTGGGCGTCACCTTATGCACTGAAAGGGTGCTGGTTTGATTTCCAGTCAGGGCACATACCCCAGTTGTGGGCTTGACCCCTGTGGGGGGTGAGGTCATGCAGGAGGCAGTAGATTAATGTTTCACTATTACATTGGTGTTTCTGTCTCTTTCACTCTCCCTTTCTCTCTATCTCAAAATCAAGAAAAAAAATCTTTTTTTTTAAAGTTGTATAACTATAAATTATTTAAATATGAAAACTACAGTTTAATGGAATATGACAGTTTAAACATTTAGAACTATAAAATAATGTTTCATATTGTTATAGCTTATAACTTTTCCAATATATTTAAGAATGATAACATATTAATCATTAATAAAGGCAGATAGATAGACTGAAGATGTTACTAAAAAGCTTTTGTTTTTACCTTATTAAGTTTTTTTCTTTTCTCCTTTGGCAAAAGTACTAGGATATAGTATAAACATCTATACTTACGTTAATAGAGTTTTATTTTTAAGACCAAAACATTGTTTGATATACCCATTATCTAACCTCTTCTTGGTGCCCTTTGTTCCTGTATCTGAAAAACAATTTTCTGGATTTTCAGGTTGTAATGGTTTTAATTCACATTGTTAATAACCTAAGCAGTTTTTTTTTTTTCTAGTTCCATAGGAATTTAAGCCGAAAAAGAAAGCAAATAGATTTTAAAGTGTTTAGTAGAGAACATTTGTTCACTTTTATGGTGATATATATATTTTTTCTTCTTAATATAGGAGACTTTCCAAGAGCATGGGATGTTCTTCTTGACCATATACAATCAGCAGCACTCAGCAAAAACAATGAAGTATCTCTGGCTGCACTGAAAAGCTTCCAGGAAATTTTACAGATTGTGTCCCCTGTCAGAGACTCAGATAAGCCTGAGACACCGCCTGCAGTTAATGTACCTGTGTCTGTCCTTCTAGGGTCAATATCAGGCCCTGGCCTGAGCAGGCCATTTGTAAGAACAGATTCCATTGGAGAAAGACTTGGAAGATACAGTAGCTCTGAGCCACCCATAGTTACTGATGAGCTGGAAGATTTGAATCTCTGGTGGGCTGCATGGAATACCTGGTATAGAATTGGATCTGAAAGCACTAAGCCTCCTATTACTTTTGATAAACTGACTTTTATTCCCAGCCAGCCTTTTCTTACAGCTTTAATCCAGATATTTCCAGCTCTCTACCAACACATAAAAACTGGTTTCAGCATGGATGACTTGCAGAAATTAGGGGTCATATTGCACAGTGCTGTTTCAGTCCCAATAAGTTCAGATGCATCTCCTTTCATTCTTCCATCTTATACTGAAGCAGTTTTGACAAGTTTACAGGAAGCTGTACTTACAGCTTTAGATGTTCTCCAAAAGGTAATAGAATTTTAAGCAAAATTGCATATATTTTTACTTTGCTGTGTATTTTTTGGTAATTCTAGATCGTTAAGATTGTTATGTATAAATACTTTGGGATAAGTTCAGGATTGTAAAGATCTCGTTATTTTAAGAACGGGTCGCTTTCTGGTAATTCAGGTTTGTTTTGAGAGTTGTTAAGAAATTGCCTGCATATTGTTTCTATTCACCAGCATTTTTGGTTTGTTCATACACCTCTTTATAAGAGGATAATATTTTTTTGAATAACAGCTTTTGTCTGGTACTTATGTAATTAGAAAATTAATAAGCAGTGGGACCACATATATTTTTAATCTGCAATTAAATCTAGCTCTGGAATTGTTGGAAGCTTATTTTTTTAAAAAGTAAGGATAAATTTATAAAGTATTTCACAAAAATTTTAGAAAGGTATATTTTTACCTATGTGTGTTTTGTTACTGCAAAAAAAAAAATTATTAAAACAGACAGACCTAAAAATCATTGAATAGCTTCTAATTAGCAAGCAATACCAGATCAAAATAAATTTTTAAAAAAGCCTTTAAACTTTAAGGTAATTGTTAGTGTAATTCACAACCAAAATGCTGAAAAACAAAATGCAAACTGAAGAGATAGCAATTCCAGGATAGTAGCTATAACATTCTAACAATATTAGTGCCCACGTGCAAGCATTCATGCACATTAAAAGGAAATTAATTAGAAGGTGGCCAGAAGGGCGGGACTGGGCGAGACAGTCCAGACACGCCCTGGAGCCAAGTTCTCATGGTCCCTCCCTGGCCAGCTGCACATGGGCTGGCTGCACCTGGGAGAGCTCTGCGGCTCAAAGGGCATCTGCCAGTAAGCACGGTCCCTGTGGCAGGTGGGGACCCTTGGCCTAGCCTGCGGGGATCGGGCCAAAATCAGCTCTCTGACATCCCCCAAAGGGTCCCAAATTGGGAGAGGGCAGTTTTTAGGTAATGGATGCATCCCAGAATTGGGCTCCCTCCTCTCTGGTTCTGGGGTGCATCACCCTAAAACCACTGCTGCCAAGTCACCACAGCTTGGCAGCTCCTGCATTGAGTGTCTGCCCCTTGGTGCCAGTGCACATCATAGCTGTCAGTCAGAGTGTCTGCCCCCCTGGTGGTCATTGTGTGTCATAGCTACCATTCGGTCAGTCAGATAGCCTTGTGTGTGTGTGTGTGTGTGTGTGTGTATTAGAATGGAACTAGAACTTGATTATACATGTGTGATCAGTAACCATTTATGTACTGTAAATCATGTTTTCCATTTAACTGATTGCACACATCCAACTGGAATGATGAACATTTTCACATGAAGAATGGTGGTTCTTGCTATATGGCAATACCTCTTATTTGCTTCTGGAGGAAGTCTAGCTGAGCAGTAATTCTTTATCTATTTAATCCAATTATACAGAGAAACAAATTGTGTTGAAACTTAAAATTTAAAAGAATCTGGCATTAAAAAAATTTATTGTAGTAATATCAGTTTTTCACAATTGAAATAAAAATAGCTGTTTTTAATTATGTGGGGGGGAGAATGTAAGTTCTCAATAATTACTTTCCCCCCCCTTGATTGATCATGCTCATAAATCACTTATAGACTGCCCTAGAGGAAATGGAAAAGTTATTTTATCAAAAAAGAAAAGCCACAGGCCTTGTGGGATGCCTTGTAGTCTACAACTCTCATTCAGATGTTTGATTCAAACTTTTATATATGTGTAGAGGATAAAAATAAAGAAGAAATAACAAATGCCAAAAACTCTCTTAAAGAGAAAAAGTATATCATTACAACAAAACAAAATAAAAACACCTTCTGCTTTAGCAGTAAGACAATAAGTGAATCATTCATCCCAGTTACTAGGAATTTGTTCTAAGCTTTGAAAACAACATATACCTTCAACCTGAAACTTAAGAAGCTTTATATTGTTCATTTATATTAATTTGATATTTTGCATTGTTAATTTTCATTGTATTCGTTACTTGAAAATAATATAATATAAAGTCTTTAATATTTCCTGAGAAAAATTTACATATTTCATGATCTGTGAGAATGTTTTTATATTTTCCTCCATGGGTTTTCGCAAGTTTTTGCTTTGGGATTTTATCCTAATAAACTATTCAGCAAAACATTTTATTGATTAAAAACTGTTTTCCTTCCTAAAGGGAAAAACTTATATTTTTAAAAAGATTTTAAAAATTGATTTTTAGAGAGAGAGAGGAAAGGAGACAAGAGAAACCTCAATGTGAGAGGGGAACATTGATTGGCTGCCTCCTGCATGCCCCCAACCGGAATCAAGCCTGAAACCCATGCATGTGCCCTGACCCAGAATGGAACCAGCAAACCCTTCTGTGATCAGGATAATACCCAATAAACTGAGCCACACTGGCCAGGGCAGAAAAACTCTTTTTTAAAATCTTATTTCTTTAGCCTTATATTCAGGGTCATAGTCTTCTCTTGGTTCCCAAATCACTAGTTCCCAATTAAATTGTCTTAATTACGTATGCTAATTGATTTTTTTCAAGACATTTTGGCATACATGAGGAACCTGAGAATTTGATCATCTGCTTTTATTAAGTTCTGAGATCAGGAGACTGCATCTGTCTTATTTATGGCTAAAGTCAGATGGCTAGATTCCTATCTGTCTCCATCATCACAATTGCTGGAGTGGTACTCCAGGAAACATCATTACATTGTATGTGAAATGGTGCCTTTGGAGTTGTTCAGTGAAACCATGTCCTCTTATAGGGGCAAGTTTCTGAATCTCTCTATACTTCAGATACCTCGTCTATAAAATGAAAATAATTTATAATTTTCCCCCTATTAAATGGGATAATATTTGTAAAATATTTAGTGCCTGGCACAGTTAAACAGTCAGCAATTGTTAGTTTAGCTGTTACTATCTTCATCGGTTTCTCTAGCAAAAGCCTTAGAACATGGTAGGTACTGAATGAATTATTGTAGATTACTTAATGAGAGAAACCCTGAACCATACCGGAGGTTGGATGTCCAGATTTTGTTCTTGCTTTCACATATACAGTTTTTAAGAACTAATAGGAAATATTCTTCAGATTGCTTATTGATTCTCAGTTTTGGGACTAAAATCTGTTATCAAATTTTATTATAGGTTTTTATAAATGATATATCAACTTCAGAATACTAAAGAAGAAAAGCCAATAATAATTTTTCTCATATGGAGTTTGTTAAAAAAAAAAAAAAAGAGTTGACTATATTTTACACTTTTCAGATTACAGAATAGTTTTATAATCTACTATAACACTACTTATGTTTTATTTTTATAAGGAACACAGAAAATCCTAGCGCATAGTCAAAATCATTATTTGGTGCCAAGATGTTTCCAGAGAAATTCTGATACTAAGTTTACTAAGTTATCAACACAGGCTTTTTTTTTTTTTTTTTCTTTTTAGCTATTGAAAATAATTTACTTAGGATAATTGTCTCTTTTTCATAGTAATTACTACTTGTTTACTTCTAAGAGTTAAGACTTAGCAAAACGAAATGAAGGTGAAACTATTAGAAGTAATTAGTAGGAAGAAAATTTATTTTTCCTCACCTGAAGATATGCTTTTTGAATTTAGAGAAAGGAAGGAGGAAAGACAGAGACAGACAGACAGACAGATAGAGATATCCATGTGAGAAACATAGATTAGTTGCCTCCTACCTAGACCAGGGATTGAACCCACAACCCAGTTATGTGCCCTGACCTGAAATTGAACCTGCCACCTTTTGGTAAAGGAAAGGACATTCCAACCAATTGAGCTACACCGCCCAGGGCAAGAGAGAATGTTTTTTTATCATTCAGGTTCTTCATTCACTATTTCTGGCAAAAATAGCTAAATATTAAGACATGGTGTTATTTTTTCACATTGTAATTATAAAACGATCTAACTTAGGTATGGGCAGCACTTTGCTTATCCACTTTCTATCTTAGGACAGTTATATCTAAACTTTCAGTTACAGCTAAATGGCTATATCTTCTCTGAAAGAAAATGAAACTATCTATTGTCTGACAGTTAAAAAGCCACAGATTACGAAAAATATATAAGTGTAAATATCTTTTTAAAGAGGTTCCTTAAAATTTTGAATGCTATGAATTTTGACTTAGTATTTTGAAGGTAGCTGAAGTGTAAATTGATCATGTTTTTTTGTTTTGTAGAGCACAGATATATTTTAGGCATTCTATTAATAATATCATTAAATATTTGTTCTCACAAAGATAATCACTAAAACAGGAAAATGTAAAATGATGAGAGGAAAATACATATTTGTGGCTAGAAAAAATAAAAAGATAAGAGTTAAGTACTTTTGACATATTTAAATTGATAATTAAAATCTACAATGATGGGCATTTTATTGTTTTATAAAATTATTTGTAGCAATAAGTTTAATTATATTAAAATATTTTAATTTTTAAAATCAAGTCTATATATTCACATATATTATACATTATTAAATATATACTATTAAAAATTAATATATAGATTTCTACTAGAAACAATTTTTTATGATTTATTTTTCTAATTATAATGCACATGATTATTTGTTAAAGTCAGTAGATCAGGTGAGGTGCAAAAATCAGCTGTCATTTCAAAGAACTGATCTCATTACTTAAAGAGTAGTCACTATCATCTTGGTCAGTGAAGCATCCTTAATGGTCTGATGCTTGTGCTACTGAACAAATGATCAGATTGTAGGACCTCAGGACTTCCTGGGACTTCTCTTTAAGTGCTTGCCCTGTATCCAATCTATTAAATAAAAATATCACACTTTAAAAAAAAAAAATCCTCACCCAAAGATATTTTCCTATTGATTTTTTAGAGAGAATGAAAGGAGGAGGTAGGGTGGAGAGAAAGAAAGAAGCATCAACATGACAGGCACATCGATTGGTTGGCTACTACATATGCCCTGATCAGGGCCTAATATCAAACAGCAACTGAGATATGTGCCCTTGACTGGTAATCGAACCCACACCCCTTTGGTCCGAGGGCAGATACCCTAACACTGAGAAACCTGGCCGGGGCAATATTACACTTTTTATTAAAAAAATTTTTTTTTTAGTTGATTTATACATTTAGCCTATACTTTATTCAATAATAGTTTAAAATAGCTTAAATGTCCTTCAGGGCTTATGAAAGATTGTATGATACATAAAATAGGGCAGTTTTTACAGTTATTTGGTTAAGCAAATGCAAGTAACAGTAAAGAACTTAATAGAGTTCAGATTATGCATTCTACTGTTCATATTTTGCTTTTATAGGCCATCTGTATAGGATCAGAAAACATGCAGATAATGTATCCAGCTATATTTGACCAGTTACTGGCATTTGTAGAATTTTCCTGTAAACCTCCACAGTATGGACAGCTGGAAACAAAGCACATTGCAAATGCAAAATATAATCAGGTAATTTACTCTAAATTATATTTACTATGTAAGGTTTTATGGCTTATAAGTACAAGTCAGTTCTACTTAAGAGGGACTCTAATTACCTCAGAAATTTTTCATTCACATATAAACTCTAATATGTCTGGTAACAATTTTAGCTTAAAAGAAATACTATTTGTAGAATCTTTTCTGTGTTTCGTTTCTTCTTGCTTATGATTTTTATTTCCAAAATGGTTCTCTAGGATGTTTGGCCTTTCACGTTACTGTGTAGTAATTCTTCTTCAAAGTTCCTTTCTTGGCTGCCCCAGCCCACTATAAAATGACTTCTAAATCTTTTAAGCCTAATCTTCCCTAAAATAGATAACTACAATGCAGAATGAAAATATCTGTGTGATTAAATAAGAAGTCTACTACTGGTGTGAAATTTAGTTGGATTTTACATTAAAGATTTTTATAGCCATAATTGGCAAATTTTAAATCTGTTTTGGCTTAGGAGAAAAGTAAATTTCTGAATGCATGCACATGCTGATTTTGTTCACACAACATAAAAATTATAATTTTTCATGGTACGAAAAGTAGTTTTAATGTGTATTAACTCTTTTATTCTATTTGTCTTGCAACACAATGGAATCACAATAGATCCAACTATTTGCACCGGTGAGTTAAATTTCCTAAAATTGTCCTAACCTATTGACAGCGAAGTACATCTTTTCCAGTTCTTGATAGAATGCTTTATGTGCTTTTCATGATAATTTTGATTTTTGCCTGGCTGAAAATTATTATTTCATGAAGTACATATCTCTTTGAAAACTTTGCATGTAATATAATCTGACATAAAACCAAGGCCTGAACTTTAAGACAAAGAAGCTTTCTGTTTGAAAGCAATACAATTTCACTTAATCTCATTTATTTTTAATTCCATGTGAAAATATTACTTTCTAGGCGGAATGGGTGGCCTTGAATTATGTACCGTTTGCTGAAAGGTCTTTAGAAGTAGTTGTGGATTTATACCAAAAAACAGCCTGTCACAAAGCAGTGGTGAATGAGAAAGTACTCCAGAATATCATTAAGGTATTTCTTTTTTTTTAAATGTTTATACATTTATTTGATGATGACAGTATTGTTGAAGTGGTGAATGTGTTGAAGTAACCCTTTAGATAATGTTTTATCATATATTGAAATTATAATTCATATTATTGTTTATAGTGACTTTTCTCCAATGTTCATGGATAATACTTAGAAACCTGTTTAAAGTATGAGGATTTTTAAATGAAAACTATTAAGTGAATATGCATTAGATTTTTTGTAATTCCTAAATTTTGCCACATAAGACAATGAGTTGAGGGTCCGTTTTCTTAGGATGATACTCATTCTTTGATGTGGATAAGCATTCAGGGAGAAATTCACAATTCAGCCCATTGATTGAATTGATCATGCATAATTTTAACAGTCATTTTTACTTTTCAATTAGAATAGATATACAATGTTATGTTAGTTTCTGGTATTGACAATTATTTTAAAAATTCATCTCTTCTTGACTGCCCCATTTCTTCAAAAGCTTATTTCTTGTTTTTTCCTCTGTCTCTCTCTGTCTCCTTCACCTTTTCCCTATCTCTAAAAATCAATAACCTTTTTTTAAGTGTTATTACTTTTTCAGGATCACTGGAGATATAATTTAAAAGTAATAATGCGGATTTTTTTCAATAGATGGAGTTACATGTATGTTATATATGCGATTTGCTATATGTGCTATTTTGTTGTATTGACAACAAGCTTCAAAACTTCATATATCAAATTTGCTGAAGGTGTTAACATCATAGATATTTTTACATTTAAAAATGTCGAGTTTCATGCAAAAAAAAAAAAAACATTTGCGGGAAGTTTTAATTATTTTGAAGAAAAATGCTGCTGAAAGTTATTATATACTTCAGGAAGCTTATGGTGAACATGCTCCATCTCAAGATACTTGTGATCGCTGGTTTAAATGCTTTAAAAGTGATGATTTCTATGTTAAAGACAAAGAATTTCCAGGTCAACCCAAAAAGTTTGAAGACCAACAATTACAAACATTATTAGATGAAGATGCGTGTCAAACTCAAAAACAACTTGCAGAAAGATTAAATATTGCTCAGCAAACAATTTCCAATCATTTACAAATAATGGAAAGACTTTAAAGGAAGGAAAATGGGTGCCACGTAAACTGAAAGAAAGACAAATGGAAAACTGAAAGTCATCAGTAAAATGTTGCTTCAATAGCATGAAAGAAAGTCTTTTTTGCATTGAATTGTGACTGGTGATGAAAAGTGGATTTATTTTGAAAATCCCAAATGCACAAAATTATGGGCTGATCCAGGTCAACCATCAACATGGACTGCAAGGCCAAATTGCTTCGGAAAGAAAACAATGCTCTGTGTTTGGTGGGATCATGAAGGTGTGGTGTATTATGAGCTTCTAAAACCAGGTGAAACTGTTAATACTTATTGCTACCAATAACAGATAGTCAGTTTGAACCATGCTTGATCAAGAAACCACCAGAATTCCAGAAGACACAGCAAAGTACTTTTGCTTCATGATGATGCACCATCACACACTTCAAAACCAGTTAATTAAAGACATGTTAAAAGATCTTGCTTGGGAAGTATTAACCCACCTGCTGTATTCACCAGACCTTGCTCCTTCAGATGACCACTTGTTCCGATCAATGGCACACACACTTTCTGAGCAGCACTTCAAAATGTACAAAGAAGTGGAAAATCAGGTCTCTAAATGATTGCCTCAAAACAAGAAAAGTTCCATTGGGATAGTATCCACAAATTACTTGAAAGATGGGGGAAATGTGTAGCTAGCGATGGAATAAAGCACTTTTGATGTTTCTCTTGAAATTATCTGTTTTCTTTGGTTACAAAATCCGCTATTATTAACTGGTACACCTAGTATCTTTCTAGGCAGCAGAATTTGAAAACTGAAACGGAGAATTGGTCTTTCTGGAAAATAACATCCTTCTTTAAATGAAATGTCTATGCCAGTGGTCGGCACACTGCGGCTGAGGAGCCACATGCTGCTTTTGGCCCCTTGAGTGTGGCTCTTCCACAAAATACTATGTGTGGGTGCGATTGGAACTTTGTGGCCCATGCACAGAAGTTGGTTTTTGGCTCTCAAAAGAAATTTCCGTTGTTGTACTGTTGATATTTGGCTTTGTTGACTAATGAGTTTGCCAACCACTGGTCTATGCTATTATTTTTTCTCTTATAATTTTATAAAAATAATTGAAGTTGTATGTATATATTTTAATGAATATGCATCTTAAATTGTATTTTCACAGACCCTTAGGTTTCCTCTCAGTTTGAAGTATTCCTGCCCTTCTGAAAGCACATGGAAACTGGCAGTATCTTCTCTCCTCAAAGTTCTTTCTATTGGGCTACCTGTTGCCCGGCAGCATGCTTCTTCTGGAAAATTTGACAGTATGTGGCCAGAACTAGCCAATACTTTTGAAGACTTTCTTTTTACTAAAAGGTCAGCTCATTTATTTTTGCAATTAGGACAATCTTTCAAGAAGTGTATACCATGCCTCTTATTGCTCTAAAAACAATGTTTCTAATTATTCATTAACAAAGTAATTGGTTATTGAGAATCCTAGCTGTACAAAGCACAGCTGGATTAGGCATTTATCCATTTGGCACATCATCTGTGAGCAATGGAGATTTTGTACTTTACAATGATAGTAGTAATTTATATATATTTATATATAATCTATATATATAACAGCTTAAGCAACTGTCCGACTGTTAGACCAGCAGCTTTGATGCTCAAGACCATCAGGGGCGGATGCTCATTGCAGAGGCATGGAAACATGGAACAGACTGATGAATCTGAGAGGGAAGGAGGTAGGAGGGAGGGTGGAAAGTGATTAACCAAAGATCTTATATGCATACTAAAGGCCCGGTAGATGAAAATTCATGCACTGGAGGGGGGTCCCTCAGCCTGACCTGCCCCCTCTCACAGACCAGGAGCCCTCAGAGGCGGGAGGCGACCCGTAGATCAGGGGAAGTCGACGCCCCTATTACACCTCTGCTGCTGCCACAGCCAGCTGGTTACCTTAGCTTTGGGCAGCCGCCATTCGAGACTTGCCTGTGCCTTGGGCATAGCTGGGCAGCTGCCATCCAAGGCTTGCCTGTACCTCGGGTGTCATTTGGGCAGCCATCATCCGAGGCTTGCCTGTGCCTTGGGCTGGCCCTTGGGCAGCTGGGGGGCTGAGGGTGGTCTGGCTGCACCGTGTGCCTACCACTCTCCCAGCTGGGGTAAAAGGACTCTGGGACTCTGGCCGCAGGCACAAGGAGCAGCTGGACCCACCTAAGGGTGGGTCCGGCCACACCACGCATCTGCCACCCCTCACCCTTGGCAGAGCTGAAAAGACTGGGGAACTCTGGTGTGGCTAAGGGGACTGGGTGCCGCCATCGTGTAGCTATGGGCGCTACTATCTTTGTGGCGGTGTGATGGCCAGTTTGCCTATTCTCTCTTTATTAGATAGGACTAGAGGCCAGGTGCACAGATTTGTGCACTGGTGGGATTCTTCAGCCTGGACTGCAGGGATCAGGCCGAAATGGGCCTCGTGCACACTTTCGTGTACTGGTGGGGTCCTTTGGCCTGGCCTGCAGGGATCAGGCTGAAATCGGCAGTCCCAACATCCCCTGAGGGGTTCCGGATTTCAAGAGGGTGCAGGCCAGACCAAGGGACCCTACCAGTGCATGAATTTGTGTACTAGGTCTCTAGTCCATATATAAAATTATATGAATGCATCATAATTAAAGAACCAGGGCTTTGACTGGATGAAGCCAAGAAGGTCCATTTTTTAAAACCATGCCCATTTGACATTACATGAATGTCAGGGCCAGCCTGATGGTTGAACCGGGCTGAGGTAGGAAGGTGGGAATTAAGAAAAGAAAGACAGACAGGAAAGCGGGATTGGGAGGGTGAAGAATGCATTAGAAAGCACTGGAAATAGAGCAGACCATATGGAAGAGAAAATTAGTGAGCTTGAAGAAATTTATAAATGATTCAGGTGGAAGGGGAAGAGAACCAAGATTTGTAAAAAATGAAAGAACTCTACAAATACTATCTGAGTCCATTAGAATGGGCAGCATAGGATAATGGGTATCCCAGAAGGAGAAGTGAAGGAATAGGGAACAGACAGCCACTTAATATCGATAGATGAGAACTTAATCCTGGGGAAGGAACTGGACATACAAGCACAAGAAGCTAATAGAACATCTAATTATTTAAATGTAAAAGACCTTCTCCAAGACACATCATATTAAAAATGTCTAAAGTCAATGATAAAAAAGGAATTCTTAAAGCATTCAGAGAAGAAAAGACAGTAACCTATAAAGTAGCCCACTTCAGGTATCATATTTTTTAGCAGAAACTTTACAGGTCAGAGAATGGGATGACATACTCAAAATAGTAAAAGATAAAAACTGCCAGACAATCAGATATCCAGCCAAGTTATCTTTCAGATATGAAGGAGAAATGGGGACTTTCTTAGGAAAAAAAGAAAATTACTGAAAGAGTTCACCACATTCTTGGCTTATAAGAAATGTTGAAGGGAGCTGTTCTACTGTAAATAAAAAAAACTGAAATATACAAAACTTTGAGTAAGGTGATAGAATCAGAAAATTGCAACTCTATAGCAAACCTAGGGCTAACATCATAGCAGTGGTGAAAAACTGAAAGCTTTTTCTTTAAGATCAAAGACAGAACAAAGATGCCCACTCTTGCCACTTTTGTTCAAAACAGTATTGAAAGGCCTAACCAGAGCAGTCCTATATAATAAAAGGCTAATATGCAAATTTCCCCCTAGACCGGGAGGGAGGTCATCCAGGGGGCGAGGATGGCTGCCAACTGCCCACAGCCCCTCCCCCTAGCCAGCCACATCCCCAATTGGGGGGTGGGCCAGTTGGGCCCCACTTGTGCACAAATTCATGTACTGGGCCTCTAGGTAATCAATTAAATTTTATTTTAAATATATTTTTATTTCAGAGAGGAAGGGAGGGGGAGAGAAAAAGAGATATCATTGATAAAAGAGAATCATTGATTGGCTGCTTCCTGCATGCCCCACACTGATTGAGCCTGCAACCCAGGCATATGCCCTTGATTGGAATCAAACCTGGGTCCCTTCAGCCCATAGGCCGATGCTCTATCCACTGAACATAACTACATGCGGCTTTTTGGCCCTTTGAATATGGCTCTTCCACAAAATATTTTGAAGAAGTGGCATTAGAAGAAGTTTAAGTTTAAAAAATTTGGCTCTCAAAAGAAATTTCAATTGCTGTACTATTGATGTTTGGCTCTGTGTGTATTTCAATACCTGTAAAAGGTAAACCAAATAATACCATATATAGCAAAAATAGCCCTAAATACAAAATAATATACTATACGCTTAAACCTAAACATGGTAATACTGTTTTTACATTTAAAATATTATAAAATATAAGAATTTAGGCTCAAACATCAAATAAATCTAGGTTTGAATTGTGACCTTTATTTATGTGTGTTTTTGGTCATATTACTAGCCATTCTAAGCTTCAGTTTCCTTTTCTGTCACTTACATGATAATATTACTATTATACATGTTACTGTGGGAACATAGGAGATAATACAAATAAAGCTATAGTACAGTGGGGAGCTCCCTAGTTTTAGCTGTCATTGTAATAATCATTACCATCCTATTATCATCTGTTTTTGAGTAATTAATATTTTATTATTCTATAAGATATTATTTTATATCATTAATATCATTTTATTGCTTATTCTTAATAAGAGTCACAGGATCTAGAATTCACCTTGGTTCTCTCAGAACTACCCATTTCTTCTGATATTGCTGAAATAATGTTCTGCTTTAGAAAGCTGAATTAATCCTCTTCTTTTCAGATGTTCTCTATCCTTTACTGTAAAAATCTTTTATATATTGGATTTGTTATAAAGTAATGATTAATGGAGAGTCTCTGAGTGAATAATTCAACAACTTGACCAAGGCTTTCTTAAATCATTGGCCATATAAGGAAATTCCAGTATTGTCACAATGGTAATTTTTGCTGTAGCTACAGATGCCAATATCTTTACTTTTCCTTGTTTTTACAACCCAAATACTGAAAGTAGTGTAGTTCTACAGATTTTATTTAGTTCAGGATTGGGCCAAGTATTTTTGTAGCTAGAATTACATGTTTGTAATTAGTCATTTATACTAATAACTTTAATTAAAAATACTGTTCTTTTAAATACCATTTAATGTTCCAACCTGGGGGAGAATAAAATTTTTCCATTTGTATTTTCAGAAAATATTTTACCTTTAAAAATTGAGTGTTTTATTTTATTTATTTTTTAGCATACCTCCGGATAACCTTTCTATTCAAGAATTTCAAAGAAATGAATGTATTGATGTGGAGGTGAGGAAGCTATTAAAAACATTTTTCTGTGACCATTTGTGAAAACCACATTTTAGAAATGTTAAAAGTATAAAATTGCTTAAAAAAATAAATAGTGAAGTAATAGATTAAACTTAAACTAAAAGCATGAAAACTCTCAAAGAGGATAAAGGTTAATTTTAAAGCACTGAAATTTTTAAATGACTTTCTAATATTTATTAGCTTTGCACTGAGTGCATGTTTTCTAGATACTTAGGTGTGCCCATTTAATAATTGTGAATAGCAGTTCATTCAGTAAATTAATTAGTCAGCAAGCATTTTTTAAGGCTTACTCTACAGTTTAATGAACAAATCAGATGTTTGTAATTAAAATTGATCTATCAGTTGCTTAGATTTCTCTCATTTTTAACCAGCTATAGATGACCTTTATCATTCTTTTTTTTCTTAATTTAATAAATATTGTTCAGATAATTACAATTGTTTCTCCTTTTCCCCCATAACTCCCCTCCACCTGGTTTCCACCCCACCCTCTGCCCTTACCTCCCCCCACTCCCACTGTCCTCATTCATAGCTGTATGATTTTTGTCCAGTCTCTTCTAGTACTGCCCACACAGACACTCCTTTCCCCCAGAGAATTATCAATCCACTCCCATTCTATGCCCTTGATTCTATTATCTTCACCAGTTTATTCTGTTCCTTAGATTTTTAATTCACTTGATTTTTAGATTCACTTGTTGATAGATATGTATTTGTTGTTCATAATTTTTATCTTTACTTTTTCTTTTTTTCTCTTTTTAAAGAATACCTTTCAGCATTTCATATAATACTGGTTTGGTGGTGATAAAGTCCTTTAGCTTTTTCTTATCTCTGAAGCTCTTTATCTGCCCTTCAATTCTGAATGATAATTTTTCTGGGTAGAGTAATCTTGATTGTAGGTTCTTGCTGCTCATCACTTTGAATATTTCTTGCCACTCCCATCTGGCCTGTATAGTTTCTGTTGAGAAATCAGCAGATATGGGAGCTCTCTTGTGGGTAACTAACTGTTTTTCTCTTGCTGCTTGTAAGATTCTCTCTTTGTTTTTTGCCCTTGGAATTTTAATTATGATGTGTCTTGGTGTGGTCCTCTTTGGATTTCTTTTGTTTGGGGATCTGTGCACTTTCAGGACTTGTAAGTCTATTTCTTTTACCACGTGGGAGAAGTTTTCAGTCATTATTTCTTCAAATAGGTTTTCAGTGTCTTGCACTCTCTCTTCTTCTGTCACCCCATAATTCTGATGTTGGTACACTTGAATTTGTCCCAGAGGCTTCTCACACTATCTACAACTTTCTGGATTCTCTCCTCTTCTTTTCTTCAGAGTGTCCTTTGCTTCTTTGTATTTCAAATCTTTGATTTGATTCTTGTGTTCCTCTAGTCTGCTGTTGGGTCTCTGTATAATATTTTTTATTTCAGTCAGTGTATGTTTAATTTCTACTTGGTCCTTTTTCATACCCTCGAGGGTTTCGTTAAATTTATCAGCCTTTTCTAAGAATTCTTGAAAAACCTTATAACCATGATTTTGAACTCTATGTCCAGTCTTTTGTTCTCCTCCATTTCTTTTGTTTGTGATCTGTTTCCTTGTCTTCTCATTTTCACTGCTTTCCTTTGTTGGTGGGGTAGCTTTGTGTGCTAGGTGTCCTATATGGTTCAATCGGTCAGCCTCCCAGTTACCTGAGGTGGACATTCTTGGTGCACCCCTTTGTGGACTGTGTGTACAGTTTTTTTTGTAGTTAAGTATTGTAGTTAAGATTGTTGTTGGTATCATTGGGATGAATTGACCTCCAGGCCAATTGGCTGTGAGGACCCACTGTGTCTATAACGGAAGAATTGCTATGCTGGAGACACATTTATGGGGCAGGACTTGTCCTAATAGGGCTTTGGTGCTCACTGAATCTACCTTTTGAAAGTGTCCCTTAGGAGACTAGTTGAAATCTGGTGTTGTGTCAAAGACCACTAGTTATACTAGTTTCTGGATTTCCAATGGGGTGCAGGTCAGCTACTGTCTGAGGCCACCCAGCAGGAGCTACAGCAAGAACTATAGTTTTCTCCACTTTGCTGACATTTGGCGATTTTGGAGCAATCTGACTGGAGCTGCAGTTTATTTGGTTAAGCTGCCAGAGGGTAGGCCATTTATATGCAAAAGCTGCTGTGTGGAGCCTGGGCAGGTTTGTAGAATGGTCAGGGCAGGGTCTCAGGGCATCTTTAGGCTAGAGCGTGGCAAACAGCGATGGTTGCCAGCCAGCCTTCTTTGCCTTTCTGAGTTTCCAAGTCCCCGCATCCCGCACTCCAGTGGAGTAAACAATGATTGCTAGGCACAACTCTGCAAAAATGTCACTCTCACTTTCTGACCAGATGACTGACAGTCCAACTTCTCCCCATAGACATCTGGGTCCCCCTCATGTCCCCAGAAACTGGATTTCATAGTGATCTGGAGCTTGTCTCCCTTCAGGTTGAAAAAAAGCCGAGTGCCCAGTCGCCCACCTCCAGCCCGATTTGCATGCCTCTGTACCTCAGCTTTTCAGCTTTTATGTGCCTTTTTCTTTCCTTCTAGTTATAAAATTCTACTCAGCCAGCTTTCTGTGATTCTGGGTAATAGATGTTTTGTCTTTTAGTTGTAGTTTTGAAATTGTTGTTCAAGGCGGCAGTTTAGTTGTTTACCTTTGCCGCCATCTTGATTTCTCCTTGACCTTTATCATTCTTAAAAAGAAATGAGTTTTAAAGAATATAGTTTGTTGAATATAAATGGAATTTAAAGTAGGAATTTTTGGTTGTGGATTTTTGGTGTGTTTGTGTGTATGTGTTTTATTCTTTTAAGTAGAATAGGGAACTTTTAAGTAAATAAAATCAAATAGGTAGTTGTTTACCTTTACCGCCATCTTGATTTCTCCTTGACCTTTATCATTCTTAAAAAAAAATGAGTTTTAAAGAATATAGTTTATTGAATATAAATGGAATTTAAAGTAGGAGTTTTTGGTTGTGGATTTTTGGTGTGTTTATGTGTATGTGTTTTATTCTTTTAAGTAGAATAGGGAACTTTTAAGTAAATAAAATCAAATACTTTAAAGTGTACATAAAAAGCATAAACATCATCATATAGATACAAAATACTACCTTTTGTCCAGTTATTAAAAGCCTTATAAATTTTTAAAAGCTTATAAATTTTTTAAAAACTTTTCTTCAAAAGGCAAAAATAGTACATTATATATTAGAAATAAGATCAACACTAAAATTGTTGCATAACAATTTATATATTGTAAACAGTTTATAGTATTGACTACTCTGTGATAAAGTTATTTACGGAGAGAAGCTGACTCGTCATCCTCTATATTAACCTTAAAATGTTTGTGTACTTCTATTAAAGGAGATTCTATAAGTGATTTTTTTACATAAAATTTAAAGCTTACATTATAAATTGTTATTTGAGTCCATCTTCTTCAAGAAAAAAAATGCATTTGAATTTGCCTCTATTGTTTCAGGTAGTTCAACTTATCAGTACTGAGATACTACCTTATGCCAATTTTATTCCTAAGGAATTTGTTGGTCAGATAATGACCATGCTTAACAAGGGCTCCATACATTCTCAGTCATCTTCATTTACAGGTATGTTATTTCAGTTGTCTTTTAAAAATGTTAAGTACTGAAGTATGTTTGAAGAAGCTTAATGTAAAAATGTTTACTCCTATGATTGTAGTAAATGTAAATGGGTAAGATAATTTTTATGAATGTGATTTTAGAGCTTTAAGCTTTACGAGGGGAAAATGTGGTAAATATTCTGTGAATTATATGCAATGAATTAATTGCAAAACACTTAAGGGATCCACTTAAGTCTTGCAGGCCGACATGTTTCCAGTTTTGTGAAGTCATAGATTATTGGGAAGTGTATATTCTGCCACTTAGTAGTTGGTTAACTTTTCTAAGTTTTCGTTTTATCATCTGTAAAATGAAGATATTAATACCAACCTCTCTGGACTATAAATTTCCGAGTTAGTCCATTAAAAAAAATAGATACCTTGACATTAAAGAAACTAACATTTAGTGAATACTACTTACTATGTGTAGGGTTTTATGCTAGAATATTAATCCCATTTCTCACAATATTTTTGTGAGGACAAGTTCCATCATATTATAGAAAGGGAAATGGGTTTAAAAAGCTTGAAAAAAATTTCCCACAATCTTAAGGCTGGTGGCCAAAATTTATCCTTAAAAAGAACTACATGCTCCTTTTGATGATATCATGCTGCCTTACTGGGAGATGATATATAAGTTGCCTTTTTTTGTTATTTCTCTTTTCTAAACCTGTGCTTAAATGTTAAATGTACAGTGGCATCATAATGTGGTTTTTCAGTATGATGATTAAAAAATAGTAAAAATGTGCCATGAATATCTATCCTTAATCCCCAGAATTTACGAGATCCATGACTAACTTCTACTCAGCTGAACACTTTAAAGAGCATATATGTGTGTAGCTTGACCACTAGATGTCTCTCATGTTGCTTACTTCACAAACTAGTTCTTTTTTTCCTAGCCCAGACAGTTTTTAAAACTGATCTGGTAAAGTGCAGATTTAATACACATGAGAACCTCAAAGAAAAAATCTTAAAGTCCATTTTTCTTAATGTGATCACTTTTATTATTGAATTGTAAAAATTATAGATACATTTTTATACAATACACATTAAGAACAATTTTTATAATTATTAGATGCAAATATTCCTCTAGGCTAAATGTGGACTACTGAGTTACAATGTATGCTTTTTTAAGTAGTTTTCTCATGCTCTCTCTTGCTATTTATACTATTTTTTAAAATTCTTTTTTAGTTTTATTGATTTCAGAGAGAGAGAAAGGGAAAGGGAGAGCGAGATAAAACATCAGTGATGAAAGAAAATCATTGATTGGCTGCCTCCTGCATACCCGCTACTGGGAATTGAGCTTGTACCCCAGGTATGTGCCCTGACTGGGAATTGAACTGTGCCTTCTAGTTTATGGGTTGAAGCTCAACCACTGACCCATACCAACTGGGTTCATTTATACTATTAAATGTATCTAATAAGGCACATGAACATTCTTTCAATAAATAGGAAACACTTCTCAGCTTTGTCCTTGAGTATTTTTTTTTAATATATTTTTTTATTGATTTTTTACAGAGAGGAAGGGAGAGAGATAGAGAGCCAGAAATGTCGATGAGAGAGAAACATCGACCAGCCACCTCCTGCACATCCCCTACCGGGGATGTGCCCGCAACCAATGTACATGCCCTTGACCGGAATCGAACCCGGGACCTTTCAGTCCGCAGACCGACGCTCTACCACTGAGCCAAACCGGTTTTGGCCCCTTGAGTATTTCTTAAACACACACATACGGATCTTTCTTGCTGAACAAGAGCAATTTGTAAACACAGAGGATCCAGTGGTCATTTTTGGTCTACTGCTCTTAAGTACAATCTGACAGCCAAAGCTCACAGACATTTGAGGAAATCCTTCAACATGAAAGAGAAAGACCAAAACAAATGAAGAGGGGCAAAAGAAACTTGGAGGAAAGAGGTAATGCTGTGTCATAGAAAACATTTTTAAGAAGAAAAGCACAATTATTGTAATTAGAGTGCTCAAAGAGAAATACTTTTACATTCATAAAACAAGAAAAATGTTATTAAAAGAGAATAATTAGAACATTAAAAGAGGCCATATAAACTAAAATGTGATTGTTGAAATAAGTTCAATGAAGGGTTGGAAGAAAGCATTAATGAAGTAACCTAGAAAGTATAGCAAAAACAAAAAAGAATATATGAGAAGAAATAAATGAAATTAATAAAGAGGTCTAACATCTGATACTAGGTCTTCCATAAAGAGAGCAGAGAAAAGCTAGGAGAGAAAATTCTCAAAGAAACAACTTGAAATAAATCTCCAGATTAAAAATGGCCATTCAGGGTTCAGAGCAGTAAAAGAAGAAGAACTCACAATAAAGCATGTTATCATGAAATATCAGAACATTCAGGGATAAAGAGAAGTTCCTAAAGATTTCAGAAAGAAAAGAACAAAGTTCCACATAAAAGAGTTGCATGAAAATGACACATTGGAGCCTGGGCTTGTGTATGCAGTGGTTAGAGCATTGGCCCAAGCACTGAAGGGTCTCAGGTTTGATTCCCAGTCAAGGGTACGTGGGTTTGCTCGCCTGGCCCAGTTGGGACATATGCAGGATGCAACCAATCTATGTGCCTCTCACATTCAGGGGGAAAATCATATATATAAATTTGCTAAGAGCTGTATTTAACCTTTTATTGACCACCAAAAATTATTTTACAGAAGCAGAGATTGATATTCGTTTGAGAGAAGAATTTTCTAAAATGTGTTTTGAAACATTGCTCCAGTTTTCCTTCAGTAATAAAGTCACAACGCCTCAGGAAGGCTACATCTCACGAATGGCACTCTCAGTACTTTTAAAGAGGTCTCAAGATGTACTACATCGCTATATAGAGGATGAAAGATTAAGTGGTAAATGCCCTCTTCCAAGGTATATATTTTATTAAAGAAAGAAATATACTATTATAATTATTCATAATAATAAAAAAAACTCTGAAAAGTATTTTCACAAGTGATCTGAACTTCACCTGAGGCTATTTATAATTTGATTATTCCATACAATCTAAATGTTCATAAGTTTTGCTGCTGATATATGAATGTTTTATTAAGGGATGCTTTTCAGTACCAACTTACTATTTTAAATTTGAAAAACAAATTGAATTCTGAAAATTTATTAGTAACATAGTTATAGTCATCATTGAAACTGATTCATCAAAACTGATCTCTGAAATATACTTGGATAGCAGTAATAAAGTTGCTTTGCTTGGACTGTTTTTATTTATTAGATTATAACATTATTTGGTTTCAAGATTGACTTCCCCTTCATTTTTAAATATTTTGTGTTTATTCTATTGCTTTTCAATTGAATCTTGGTTATAGTTGTGCCATGAAGTGTTATATTCTATCATATTATGTTTGATGCAGTTACCATTCATTATTTTCTGAAAAGCTGCAACAGGATAAAATACTTCAGTGCTTACAAAGCATGGCTTGAAATAGTATCTTGTCATATATTAGGAAAATCTTATCTGTGGAATGAAAACACAGACTAATCTCAGGAATCAGGTTTGGGTGCTGTTTAAACTATAGCAGAACAGCTTTTTTATTTTGTAGGGAGAAAGAAGGGACTCAAGCTACTTTTGTTGATCCTTTGCTACAAGTTTATTCTTCATTGCTGATGTTTCCAAATAGTGCCTCCTTAGGACTGATTTTGAACATGTTATTTGTTGTATTGGAACGTTAAATAAGCATTATTGTAATTTTAAACTTACTTTTAACAGCGTGATAAAATATGTATTAGGAGGTAATAGTAGTCTATATTTTCATTTAATCTTTGGCAAATCTTTTTTAGTACTAATTAGTTAAAATAAATACACCTTTCGCAGAGAAGCTTTAAAAGCATATATTATAAAATGTTTTAATTTTAAGTAGTTATATGAAACAGTTTACAAATAAATTTAGATTTGTATTAATAGATTGCCTCTCCCTCCTTTTTAAATTGATAATTAATGGTAAGAACTATATATCTTACTAGAGGCCTGGTGCACAAAAATTCATGCACTTCAGGGGGGCATCCCTCAGCCTGGCCTGTTCCCTCGCAATCTGGGACCCCTCAGGGAATATCCAACTGACAGTTTAGGTCTGCTCCCCAGGGGATTGGGCCTAATCTGTCAGTCAGACATCCCTCTGACAGCATGGGAGCCCTCGGGTGATGTCTGACGATTGGCTTATGCCTGTTCCCCCGGCCTAAGCCCTTAGTCAGACATCCTTGGTGCTGCCGCTATGCTAGCCAGCCAAGAGCCAGCTTCTGGCTGAGCAGAGTTCCCCCTGTAGAAGCATACTGTCCACCAGGGGGCAGCTCCTGCATTGAGCATCTGCCCCCCGTGGTTAGTGCGTGTCATAGTGACCAGTCATTCCCAGTTGTTCCACCGTTAGGGTCAATTTGCATGTTACCCTTTTATTATATAGAATTGCACACTGAAGTACATGTTAATAAAATAATTTCTCTTTTTTAAGAATTTAAAACTAACATTAACTTTACATTATACTCCATTTTTCTCAAAATCCATTTAGTTGTATAAACAGTAAAAAACACATGCATATGTTAGAATCTTAATGAAAATAATTTCTTGTTTCTTTTTAAGGCAACAAGTAACAGAAATCATATTTGTTTTAAAAGCAGTTAGTACTCTCATTGATTCACTTAAGAAAACTCAGCCTGAGAATGGTAAGTGCTTAGAAACTCAGCTATTCTAAACTCATATATGTTCTATTTATAATGTACTTTTTTATATTATTATTAAGTTAACTGAATTTTAGGAACATACAACTTTTAGACTTACTTTTCTCCAGTCTTGATGACACTTAAGCATCAGCCCATTAGGATGTCAATTAAGTAAAATTTATTTGTAATGTTTTGTCTTCATGTAAAACATCTATTTGGCTGACTTTTTTTTTTTTTTTTTTAAGTAAATTGGTCTGAATTCAGGGTGTTACATGGACAATTCATATTTTGTGTGTTTTTAATATAGAACATCATTGACTTTTTCAGGTATAGGGAAGCTTCAATTCTACATTTGTACTGATTTACTGTAGATATATCAACTGTATAAATAACTATGAATCATTTTTATAGTACTTTCTTATTTATTTCCCCTTTTTGTTACTTATTCCTGTCCAATCTGTTCTTCACATTATGGCCAGAAATGACTTTTCCAAAAGTATATTCAACCATTTATTTTTCTATCCTTGTAAAACAAGACAAAAAAATCTTTTTTACTTATTACCTACCAAATGCATGAAGAGTACTTTCTGACTACACATGCTTGATTTCCCACTAGACCTAATACACCCTACTCTCCCACCAAATTAAAATTCTGTCTACTCATATATTACCAACCCTTTGCTTATTTCATTCTTTTGCCTACATCCACCTAATTTAAATACCACTCTTCTTCAAGCCTGTTTTTAATCCTTGAAGGTAAATGATTTCTTTATTTTTGTTGTTGAATTCCTAGCTTTGTTATATATACCTTTGCATTAAAGCACCTATTTGTGTTATAGTTATACATGTACATGACTCACTCCCCTTAAATTGTTAAGTTCTTAAAAGTTTTTTGGGCCTTGTTTTGTTCTATTTTGTATCCTCTACAACACTGTTACTTAAAGTCTGGTTTGTTGGACTAGCCCCTGATCTTAAGTTTATTACTGATCCAGGAAGGTAAAGAGCCGGCACCAGAATGTAAGTCAGTTGTATCACTAAACACGCTCACTCAGCTGACATTTTTTATACAACTTGATTTTGTTAAATAAGGAAGTATATTGGTTTACATTCTGGCATCTTAGATGTCTAGCACTTTAAGCAGCATTTCTTTTATTAACCAATAAAAAAGGAAGTTCCTAATAAATGAGTCATATTATATTAGTTATTATATAATTAAAATAAATACATGTTTTTCTGTTTTTAAATCTACCCATTGGTACTTTGGCCTAAAAAGGGTGAGTGCTATGTTAACTCTTAAGAGGCAATAATAGACTTATGTTTATTCAATCCAAATAGAGGTGTGGAATTTCTGGGGAAAATTCTGGAGGAATGTCCTAAATTTATCTCAAGTTCAAATTTAAATTCTTATAAAAAAAAAATACTCTGGCTAATTTTTCAGAGAGGGAAACCATGCATTGACTTTCTAGAAATTAGTCAGTAAAATCTTTATTAGATCACAAGATAGAATTAGATCCTTAAAAATATACTTAAGACATAAACAGGAAAATCTCTGTTTTCCATGTTACTGCTCTAGATATATTACATATAATCAGTATAGTCATTATTTCTTCAAATAGGTTTTCAGTATCTTGCACTCTCTCTTCTTCTGTTACCCCCAAAATTCTGATGCTGGTACACTTGAAGTTGTTCCAGAGGCTACACTACCTTCAACTTTCTGGATTCTCTTCTCTTCTTGCTTCTCTGGAGGAGTGTCCTTTGCTTCTTTGTATTACAAATCTTTGACTTGATTCTTGTGTTCCTCTAGTCTGCTGTTGGGTCTCTGTATAATATTTTTTATTTCGGCCAGTGTATGTTTATTTTCTAGTTGGTCCTTTTTTATATCCTCGGGGGTCTCGTTAAATTTATTGGCCTTTTCTAGGAAATTCTTGAAAAACCTTATGACTATGATTTTGAATTCTATATCCAGCCTTTTGTTCTCCTCCATTTCTTTCGTTTGAGATCTATTTTCTTGTCTCGGCTTTTTGCTGCTTCCCTGAGTTGGTAGAATGGCTTTGTGTATTTGGTGTCCTTTATGGCCCAGTGGGTCAGCCTTTTTAGTTACCTGAGGTAGACACTCTTGGTGCTCCCCTTTGTGGACTGTGTGTACAGCCTTGTTATAGTTAAGTCTTGATTGTTGTTGGTATCACTGGGAGGAATTGACCTTCAGGCCAATTGGATGTGAGTATCAGCTGGATACCTTCTGTATTGGAGACAGTCTTATAGGATCTGACTTGCAAAATTGAAAAAAACCTGTGCTCAGCTTGGGTGGGTCGGAGTCTCAGGGCTGAGCCGACAGTCTTGGCTTCCAGTCAGTCCTGCCCTTGTGTGTGCCTCAGACCTCTGCCTTCTGTGGCTCCCCTGAGTTTCTGCCTGACAGTCCAGATTCTCCCTGCAAGAGCATGGGTGCCCCAGGGGCTCGCCCAGAATTGGGTTGGGTTTCTGTAGTCTGGAGCTTCCAACTCCTTTCGCTATGGAGAGGCGGTGGCAACCTTCGTGGTCAGACCTCTCTGTGCGCACTCGCACACAATTGTAGACCCTGCCTGCTGCAGCTTCCAACTCCTCCAAGTCTCCCACTCTCTGAGTCTCCGGATGCCTTTCTTTATAGTCCAGACTCCCGTATGAGCCTGGGTCCACGGGGTTTCGGACAGGGTTGGGGTTTAGTCCAGTCAGAACTGGGGTTCAGTGCAGCCGGGGCTTCCTTTCCCCTCCCGCCAGCCAGGCACTTGGCCGCCCTTCCTTTCTGCACACGAGCATCTCCTACTTCAGCGCTTTGCAGCTCCCCTGATCCGTGAGCCTCTGTCCTTTTTTCTTTAAGATACATTTCATTGATTTTTTTTACAGAGAGGAAAGAGAGAGGGATAAAGTTAGAAACATGGATGAGAGAGAATAATTGCACACACCTTCCCCCCCCCCCCCCCCCGCCCACTGGGGATGTGCCCGCAACCAAGGTACATGCCCTTGACTGGAATTGAACCTGGGACCCTTCAGTCCACAGGCTGATGCTCTATCCACTGAGCCAAACCAGTCTTGGCTCTCTTTCTTTCTGGTTGTAGATTTTCCCACTCAGCCAGCTTTCCTGTGGTTTTGGATTATATCCGTTCTGTCTTTTAGTTGTTTTGAAATTGTTGTTTGAGACGGCAGCTTAGGTGCTTACGTAGGTGCTTCTCACTTTTTAATTTTTTTTATAATTAAGTCCAAAATGCCCACCAATATCTATGGTGAGTTTTTAAAAAATATTTTAAGAAATTTGAGTAGCTTTCCCTTAGTTTAAGAAGTTACCTTAAATAATGTATTTTTATATTCTCCTGTAATAAACAGGGCAATGTAGGTAAGTTTCAATATATGCAATCTTGTTCTCAAATTTTTATCTGAGTAAAATACCAATAAAATTTATCATCTTAACCATTATTAAGTATATGTATAGTTCAGTATTATTAAATACTAGAGACCTGGTGCACAAATTTGTGCATGGGTGGGGTCCAGCCAGCCTGCCCCAATCGGCATGGGGGTCTGGTCGGTGGTGGGGCCAGCCAGGGGAAGGGCCCGTCCCGCCAACCTCTTGCAGCTCCTCTCTCCACCCAGTCCCCCCCAGATTGACCTCCCTACCCTGATCAGGGGCAGGGCCTGGCAGCCAACCTCCTGGGGCACTTCCCCCATGCTTGCCCCTGAATAGCCCCCACCATTCCAATTGGCTTGTGGCCCCTCCGTCAGCCAGCTCTTTCCCTGATTGCCCCCCTACACTATCCAGGGGTGGGGCTGGCTGACCAACCTCCCATGATCCCTTCCCTGACCGCTGGTCCCCAATTGGCCCCCTAAATTGTGGTTGGGGCCCAGTGGCCAATCACCCATGGTCCCTTCCCCCAACTGGCCTGGCCCTGATCGGGTCCCAATGGGGTGGGTCAGCTGGCCAACCTCCTGTTGTCTCCTCCTCCCAACAGGCCCAGCCCCAATCCTCCCTGATTGGGGCTGAGCTGGCCGGACCCCACCCGTGCATGAATTCATGCACTGGACCTCTAGTTGTATATAGTAAATCCTCGATTTTATGGACCTCAATTTAACAGACATCAGACTTAATGGACAAAATTTCTGGTCTGTAAGTCATATGTGAAAATTAACACCCTGTTAATTTTAAAATGCTTTTGACTAAGATTTGTTTATAAATAAATTATGGGGTTATTTTTTTATTGTCAATTCACTGTTATTTTTAACAAATTTTAAACAATAGGGCATATGTTGGAATAAACACTAGTAATTTCACCACCATATATAAATATTACATATCTACATATTTATATTACACATTTACATATATAAATATCACATATCTATTTTAAATCCAAAGTGACTGTTCGTAAACAATGTTTTTTGAATGATTAGCATGTGATCACAAAGCATCTCATTTGGTAATTGTTCTTTGGTTGAGTGGCATGACTTTCTGCAGCAGTTTTTTGTTTTGTTTTGTTTTGTTTTGTTTTTAATATTTTCATTGATTTCAGAAAGGAAGGGAGTGGAGGAGAGAGAAAGAAACATCAGTGATGAGATAGAATTATTGACAGCTGCCTCCTGCACACCCCCTACTGGAGATCAAGTCTGCAACCTGGACATGTGCCCTTGACCGGAATTGAACCCAGAACCCTTCAGTACAAACTAATTTGGATATAACACTTTTGTCCATTCACTAAATGTCATTCAACAGTACTAATTGTTCATAGTAGTCCCTCCCAACTACAGTTCAAATCTAATGATATACATCAAAGATTGTCAAACAGTCTAAGCCAGTGTTGCTCAGTGGTTGAGTTCACAGTTCAATTCCCAGTAGGGCACATGCCTGGATTGCAGGCTCAGTCCCCAGGAGGGGTTGTGCAGGAGTTAGCCAATCAATGATTTTCTTTCATCACTGATAATTCTATCTTGCTCTCTTCCTTTCCTCTCTCTGAAATCAATTTTTTAAAAAGGTTATCAAGCAGTATAAGAATGAATCTATGTGTAGTTATTTAAAATTAAAAGCAATACTAAGGACATTACAGATAAAATAATTTAATATCTGTATATTTTTAGCACACAATGGTATAAAAAATTGAACTCTTTTCTAATTATTCTTGAAATGTACACTATATTCTCTAGCAATTATATTGAAAATGACTAAGGTTTTGAAGTTTTTCTAAGCTACTTGACTTAGTTTTCAAAGCTTTTGCAAATTGCAGTATCATTTTAAAATGTACTTTTATTAATTTTGTTGGTATTGATATGTTACACATTGACTATATATTTTCCCTTACATCTTACTAAATATTGCAGGAAATCTCCCAAAAGTAAAAGAAAATTGTGGAATCTCCATATATTTTGGAATTTTTTCTTTGCATTGTATTTAATGATTATGTTTATGTTAATTAGGTGATCTCTGCTATTGAAATCCACCCTTTTTTGAGGTTTTATACTTTTTGCATTGCAGTTGATGAAAATACCTGGGCACAAGTAATTGCATTATACCCAACGTTAGTAGAATGCATCACCTGCTCATCTTCAGAAGTCTGCTCTGCACTTAAAGAGGCACTAGTTCCCTTTAAGGATTTCATGCAGCCACCAGCATCCAAAGTTCAAAATGGAGAATCTTGACCAGCTACAATAAATTTAAAGAAGAAAGATATCTAAAGAATGTCTGCTCCTCAGTGAGTCTTCTATTAGAAGACTTTCTTACTACAAATAATTCTTGGCAGCTGTTGTTGGCCTTCTTTAAATCGTACTTACCTGAGTTCAGTAGTTCTTATTGCAAGCTTACATGTCAGCAAGGCTCCTGAATGAGTATCAGTGCAAGCCTTTAATAATTAAATTGATTAGAAGATGGTTAATACTACAGCATACCTGCTACCATATATTCAATTGGTGATTTAAAAGTGAGCTTATGTACAGTTTGTGATGTTTGTGTTAATGATGTACTTTTTAAAAAGAAAGAAAAGATATTTCATTCAGTCAGATTTATTAGGCTGGTGTTTTTGCGCTCTTTTTCAAGTACAAAGTGTACTAAAATTTTATGCAAGATGGTACTGTAACATTCCATATTATCTATAACCAGCCTTTGTAAACAAAAGGAACTGATATACTTGTGTGTAAAATAAATGGTTACAGTTCTATATAAAATAGTTGCATTTATTATTTAAAAATTTTAAATACTGCTAATGTTAAATGCTTGATGCTGTATTTATTATTAATATAAAATTGTTTGCTTATCTTTTTACTTATAATTTGCCTTCTTAAGCGGCAGATACACTCACCATATAATCATGCAGTTAGCTTAATGATTATTTTAAATGTAGTTGCTAGTCACTATTAAAAGTCTGGCCAGAAAGGTCATGTGAACACCGCAGCAAATAGTTTATGATTTGCTGATTTTGCAGCTCCAAAGTATAGGTTATTAACTTAATACATTGAGATATTTTGTAGCACTATGACTCCATCATACCTCATTTCTTTAAATGTCTTTTCCAGCTTTCACATAAGTATGTCCGTTTTTATATTTGCTGTCTGGATTTTAAAGACTTTGATATTTTATATTTCTATTAAGTCTCCTACCCCCACTCTCGCTCCCTCCCTGACTAACAGCATTTATCACTGACTTTGAATTATGACCCAGGCAAAATGATTTCAGATTTCCTAAAATTTTGCCTGTAAGGTTTTGTTCATTTCAGTGCTTTGTTTTGTAATGTCTTCTTAAGAAGCAAAATAACAATGCTGACCCACAGATATAAAATGTGTATGTATTCTGAAACAATGAGAAATGTATTTTTGGAGTTGGAAAAGCATTTAGAAGTGCAGTAAACTTTATGTCATGGAGAAAAATGCTAATTTTGTTTCAATTTCCTCTGCTATTGAAGAAATGCTCCTGAGTACATTAACTTAACTGTTCCTTAAAAAACGACTGACATAGATTACTGTATTTTTTATTTTATGGATTATACTATTATATTTTTGTTCTGAATTAAATTTTCATAATTTATGTGAAGACTCAAGGGTGTTTAAAACAATTATTTTTCATAAGAAATCATAATTGTCTCAGTATTATTTTATTGTGCTGGAAAGACTTTGATTTTAATAGAATTTATGCCACTCCAGCATATTTATAAAATGATGAGAAGATATTAGGATTAAATAATGAACAAGATAAAATTGTGAGGCTATTGTAATTGTGTAATTATTTAATTTGCACTATTATCTGTAAACAAGTGGTTAGAAATTATTTTTAAGGGATAGTATTTTTTTACATGAATTAATGAGTTTTTACTTTATAATTTCATGTAAAATTAAGGTAAAATATGGCATTTTCTAGATATTATATTCAGCATTTTTCTTGAAGAAAGTTGTAAAAATTAATTGCTCAAGCTGTATATTTAGTTTACTTTCTGTATTTGGATATGTTAAATTGGAGATTAGAAAAATCTGCATATCACTGATAAAGCATTGAAATAGAATAAGAGTAGTGTACAGATTCAGTAACATGTTTAAAGTATTGCTAAAAATTTACATGAAGTAAAAATGCATCTATTCTTGAGAAATCACAGATCAATTGCAATTAGAATTATCCTCTAGTGAAAGTTAAATGAGAGTCAAAGGTATATACATATATTTATATAAATGGATTGGTTTTATTAATATTGTATTAGCTTTCAATATCAGGACCATACCCTACAGTTCAAAACACAAATATGGTGAATGTGTAAATATCATATAAAATAATGATCAGTGGCCATCTTAATGTCAGGCAAGCTGGGCCACCCCCCTTGGTACTATAATTTGACAGGTTTTTCCTGTCAAATTACTTTCTGTATTTGGATATGTTAAATTGGAGATTAGAGTCACTATTAGTGACTCTACTAGTCACTACTAGTAATTAACTCCTTTGAGTCAACCATACTTCTAGGCTAAAATATCCTGATTCCTGGGGGTTAACCTTTCTCTTGTTGGAATGAATTAGGTTCTTCAGTGACTAGAAGAACTGGGCTATATGAGATTACTACATTCTAGGAGATTTAAAAAGGAAGTTGCCAAAGCTAAGATCATTTTATAGGACATTTAAGACGATGATTAGTCCATGAAACAGTAATAAAAATGTCCTTTGGGGTACATATTATAATTACAATGAGTTTTAAGCCTCACATAATCATTTTTTGTCACTGATGGTACCTTTTTTTGTGTGTTTTTTTTTTTTTTTTTGTCTTTTTTTTCATCCTAACCCAAGGATATTTTGCCATTGATTTTTAGAGAAAGTGGAAGGGAGGAGAGATAGAAACATTGATGTGAAAGAGACGCATCAATTGGGGACCAGGGATCAAGCCTGCAATGGAGGCACATGCCCGTGACCAGAATCATTTCTCCGGGATGATGACCTCCCCACTGAGCTAAACCAACTAGGACAATGCCTTTCTTATATATAGAGTGCTGGAAAACAGACATCTAACAATTGGATTAAAATCCTTTTCTGACTTTTTTTCATTATAAAATTTTTTTTTTAACTTGGAGTAGTTTACTTTTTAGTATCCTATACTGCCACTACCAAAGAGGAGAAGAACAAGTCATTTTGTAGTGTCTTATTTTGTACTCCTTTATAACTAGTGATAACTAAAAGTTCTATTAATTTTACCGTATACATTTGTAACATTTACTTAGGAGCTTATAGTTGCCAAAAGAAAAAGAAAATGCATGCAAGTCTGCCTTAGCATCACTTTTTACTTGATTTCATTTTAAAAAATTTTATTAACAACTATATTGTTTACCTGTTTTCCCCTATATAGGATTATTGATCCAACTCTTGCTATATTCCTTAAATTATGTTACACTAGATGGAAGAGGTGAACAATTTAACATATATATTTTATTCTGAAGAATAGCATATACTTAATATTATAATAGGTTACTTGTCCTTTCTCAATATAACTTGAAAGTATTTTGTTCATTGTCACAATTTGGAGTCACTGGTCCCAGGCAGCCATTGGCCAAAGAGCCCATTGAGAAACAGAATAAAATAGTTTAAGTTATTGAAGTGTTAACAAACAACTCAAAAGTATTAATGAGGTTGTCATTATTACACTCATGTTAATGAAAGACAATGTGTGTGTGTGTGAATATATATATATATATATATATATATATATATATATATATAATGACTAATACATTTTCCTCAAGTATAGAATAATTAAGATAGGCAACCAGATCCTCGAAAAAGACTGCTGTAGGTGAAGTCTGTCTAGCGAAGGCAGAATACTTTCAGGAACTCACCTTCCTGTGATTGCTATAGACATTAATAGTGGAGATTTAGAAGCCCTGGAATGAATGGATGTCCAGGCCATGAATATTGTGAACTTCTGATTTTTAATAGAAAATGACCACAGATGTGAACAAAGATGGTCTGAAAGCATTGCCAGCAGCCTAGAATGTTCTTTAGATTTATGCTCAATGCATTTGACATTTTGGCAGATAAGCTGTTCTTGTGTATAGTGCCACCCTTTAACTATGTTTAGAGTTGTTGGGTTGCATTTATCTACATTTTTAGAGTGAATTTTGCTTTTTTATTTAAACTACCATTCATAGAATGAAGGAGTTTATAACACATGGTGTGTTACCAATTTATATATTAAGGGAAAGCAGTTTCTAATACTTCAGAAATCTTGAATTAAAAAATTTGTATCTCTGGCAATTAGACTAGTGCTTTCAATTTGAATGAAAAGTATTTCTGGAATGGGAAAGAAACTATCTGTTTCTTAATTTACGTAAAAACTATTTCAAATGAGTTAAATATCCATGTTTACATATCTGGTAAGTTTGAATGCACTGGCAGTGTTGGCTGTTTTTAAAAGAGCATGCAATCATTCCTTTGGTGAACATAAATATTCTTATTAATCTTGACTGTGAAGCAGCAAGGAACAGAGACTCTGCCTCTTTTTAACATTATAGGCATGTTAACTTTTCGAAGCCTTTGTTTTCTAATCTTTAAAAACAGAGATGACAGTGAGTTCTCATGAATTCTTTAGAGGAAAAACACATAGTTTGAATTTAGAGTTGATTTTACATTATTGAGATAGTTATCTTCAAGTTATTTGATAAATTTATTACTATATCCCAATTGAGACCTTTGATTATTTTTCTCCCCCTTTCTCCTGCATCAGTTTCTTCCCTTCTCTTTCCTATTTATTTTTTTTAATGTACTTATAAAAGTTTATTGATTTTTAGAGAGAGGAAGGGAGAAGAGAAACATTGATATGAGAGCATAACATTGATCTGCTGCCTCCTGTACACCCTCATACTGGGGATCAAGCCTACAGCCCAGGCATGTGCCCCGACTGGGAATCAAACTGGCAGTCCTTTGGTGAATGGGATAACACTCAACCAACTAGACCACTCTGGTCAGAGTCAAGTTAAAATAATTTGTGACTAGAGTTCCTACTATCTTTCTGAATGCACAGGATTCAGCAGTGAGGATGCCCACAAAATGGGATGCTATAAATATGAATTCAGCAGCTAAAATTGGAATAATCATGTCTTTTCTGTTATGTGGATAGAGAGATCATAGCACTTTTCTTAAAAGGGAAATGAGTTTACATTAAGTTTTTTTTGTTTGTTTG